GTGGGCGCCGTACCAAAAACGGGTCGGTACGGGGACGGAGGTGTGTTCGAACCAGCGGCGACGGACTTGCCGGCGGTGGCTATAGCAATAGATGGACGCTGGCGGCTGTATCCCCTTATATTAGGCGGTAGCTTGCGCCACCTAGCTTAGAAATCTTTCTGCACCTTTCAAATTCCGCGTCGAACGTTTGTATTCCGTAAAGCTGTATAGCCGGTATAACCTATTATTTCGTGCGCAATTTCACACTTCCCTCTACCAATCTTGTAATCCCTTATTTGTGGCAGCTTTGAGGCGGCGTCGACCACCAAATGTAGGGGACTATCGGCGTCGATGAGCGCAGCCACAGCTGTTTTGTTCCTTGGAGCTTACATTTGTGTCGCCGATAGCGATCCTGCATGTTTCAAAACATTTATTTTATTTGTCTCCACATTTCGAAACAAAAGCGACAAGACCCACCGCGAGCACATTTCACATCAACCACTCCTTACGCCGCATTTCGTCCCCGATGATCGACGACCGCATTTTCCTTCTTCGGCTGTTGTTCCTTGAAATCGAATTTACGTCTGTCCCAAAGGAACCGATGTGGTCTGACCATTTCGAGCAGCAGCTCAGCGGTAAATCCAAATCTCTGTATGCCCGTTGTTCAAAAGCCGTAAACATCACACAATGCGCCCGTCGTCTCGCTGGCCTCCCTCCTTCCCGAAACGAGCTTTGTTAACTTCGTCGACTTGTTAGGGCGGTTAGGGCACACTACGGCCAATTCCCCCTGCCGCGGCCGTGCCCATGGTCACCCAACTTTTGAGAATCCGCCAGATTCAGCGAAAGTTTCCGATTTTGTGATTGGCCGTCCCTCGATGGGGCGGGGCGCCGGCGTTCCCGGTCTCCCGCCGGTGCCGGGGACGTTGAACATCCTCGTTCGGCCCATTTCGGGTCCGGCGGCCCGATTTCGGATGGAAACCGGTCCGAACGCCCTCTGCCCCGGCGAAAAGGACGGCCGGCGCTTTCGCCGGGCCGGGCGAAGAAACAGCTGTGTGAATGAGGCCTCAGAGCCGTTACGGCGCGGAGGGAATTTCTTTGCCATTGTTCGCGTTTACGGACAACGCCGGCTCCGCTCCATGGCCCAGTTCATGCTTCCGCACTAAAATGCTGAAACAAAACCCTACTGGAGTCTTTAAAAAAAATGTTGGGGGCGTGTTGCCTATGGGAAGGGCCTTCAGAGATTATATGCAATACTTGGAGCTTACTTTCATGAGCTTGCAGCTGATACCCCCCGCCACTGAGATCACGGGATGTATTCCAGCAGTTCCTTGTTGCATTGCACCTCATAACCTTCCTGGTCGCAAGACCGATGATGGATGCCAGGCCTTCCGACAGTGCCCTCAATGTCTCGATCTTTGTCTTGCGCTTTTAGTCTGTTGGAACTGAAAGTAGAGCACGCATACACACTTGCATAAATGTCATAATGGTGAAACATGACACTATCAAATTTCATAAAGCACTTCTAATTCCAGCCCACAATAAATCATTAAAAAATAACTTCATCTTCCTATTATCAATTTATATATATTTGCTGATACATAGGTACGTCCACAAACACAGAGAACTAGCATGAAGAGAGACAATAAAGTGTTTTTAGGGCCTAATTTTGGTCATTGTTGAGCGATCGAGATTAAGATCTCACCAGGACAGCACAATGATTGGACGCGATGCCACAGACGGGCGCTCTTGACCAATGAGAATTTCTTTTCGCTGTCGACGAGGCGATGTTTTGGTGGGAGCTTCTCACCTTCGTGCGGATGGTGAGTTTAATCTCGCTTCAAGGTGTATGCTTGTTCCAAGCTCTCGTTTTACCACCAGTACCAGTGGGCGTCAGGTTACACACGGCCAAGACGAATTGGCATACCCAAACGAAGCAGAGGACGACAATAACAACCTGTGTAAAATAGCCAACGCTTCGTACTTTAATTAGTTTTCCATTTCACTCGCCGCGGCACACATTTCATAGCAGACGATTGTAATTTTCCGCCTCTTTTCGCAGATGACTTGTCAGTATGTTTTTTTTCGTCGGAAAATGACACCTTGCAGCAAACAAACTCATTATTCCCGACTCATGTCAGCAGACGACGTTTCTGCCTGCGGTAATTTAGCTTCCTCAGTGCGCGCCGGCTGAGATCTTCATGACAAAAATCGAGGTCCCCGATGAGATGAAGTGGCAGACTGAGAAATATTTCATGACAAGGGAAAGCAAATACTAGGTGCATTGTATTGTTAGAGTATAGTGCGCCATGCAGTTAATACGGAATGCATACCATCCTAGCATCTGTCAGGTAAGGATAATAATTTTTTGCAATCTCTACGTTCATGGATGTAAGCGCATGTAGCTGTTTTCAGGCAGCCGCATTCATTTTAAGGTCAATCTGGTCAAAATATACGGGGAAGGAACGTTTTACAAGCGTGAACCTTTTTTAGGAGGGGCAATAAACAGATTTTTGCTACCTCTGGCAGCAAAACAAAGTGTGGAGCAAAATTTGCGAGCCACAAAATGTGGAATTCACTCTCACACACTCTAAATTCCAAAAAGAGAGTACTTCAGTCACTGCGTGCTGTTCCGCAATATTTAATAAAGAATAAGGTTGGTACGCCCCTTAACGTTTCGACTGCCCAATAAAAAAAAAAGAAAGAAAAAGCACGAGAACAGAGCTTATTATGGCACTGAAGACCTTCGTTTTGTCTCAGCGTTGCCCCGACATTCGCCACAAAGTTTCATTTGAACGAGGAAACTTAGGATAACAATCCTGATCTGAACAGGCAAGACGGGAGGCAGGTGTGATTCTGATTTGTCCACGTTTGCAAGAAGCAGTCGAGAAAGATCGAGCGAAGCGCATGCATTTTTATACATAACACACGTTCTGGGCCATCGGCCAGTTTTACTAGTGTGGAATGTTAGCAGTGAAATGTGTTTGTGAACTGATCCAACGACAGAATGACGACCCATGCTATCGCAGAAACTTGGACAATTAAAGCGGCTGCTGCCGGAAAAAGAAAAGTTCGATGAGTAGCTTTGTAATTTTAATTCAGACGTTACGATCTAAAAAAACATTTTTTTAGTGCACCCCGTGGGCTATATTTTAGAGGCCTCTGAGCAGTCGGCGTTGCGTAGTTAATATTTCCGGTGGCGAAAACAAGCAGAAATCACTGTGCTTGGATGGCAGCCCGAAATAACGTTCGGTTTTTAGTGCCGAAAATGTTTCAAAAGATAATAAATAAAAAAATGGTATTTATCATGAAAGAGAAACGCGTCCGAGGAACGGTCAGTATGAATCCGAGCTAGGAAGAGTGCAACTTTTGCATATTTAGTTATTACAAATTTTGGCCGTTTTGTTCTTCAGATTTTTTCTTTTCTGGTCGCGCTATTGAGCCATTGTCCATTCCCACTGTTATAGAGGGCTTATCCTGTAGCCCTATGTGCTACTTATATCAGTCAATCAATTAGTCAATCAATTATTGTATTAATGAATTATCCAATCAACCGTTCAACTAACCAACCCAACAGTCAATGGTTTTTATTACCGTGAATGCAAGTTACAAGTTAAATAACGTGTTCGTTACTACAGTTTATTACCCTACTGCTGATGTGCTGACTCTAAACTCATTAGATCCGATGCAAACACACGTATTTTTACAAGGTTGGTGCGCTAAATACGAGCTTAGTATACGTTCGCTTCGTAAATAGCTTACTCTATCGATCGCTTGCACTAAAAAAGTGGTAACATTGGGAGGCAACATATGAGAGACACAGGGCAAAATAATGCCTCTATTTTTTCTTCAGGTCATTAAGGCTACTAAGATTGATGCATAATATATGATGTATCTTAATGAGGAAGATTATATCTACAAGGATAAGAGATGCGCACACTTAAAGACAAGTGACGTCAACGAAACATCGAAGACGATCTCGATGCCATGCGCCTTGCTTCGGCCGAGCGCGAGCGCTCGAGGTGCACTGGACGACGAAGCGTTCTCGTATGTAGGGAGTTCGCTCTGGAGGCGGTTCAACTGAGGCTTCTCCCTGCCGTGTTTACCTTATCAGTAGCTATAGTTAACTGCTAAACTATTCACTATGTAATAATTTTATGATTATGGGAGACGCATATCAATATGAATTCCACAAAAGTCTGTTCAGTTTCGCACTTATTTAAGTTTTTTCCTTTTTAAATGTTTCTTCAAATGCAAATATTTCTACAGAATAGCGCATAGTCAGAATGGCGCATAGCAGGCCTTTATGCTACGTTTTACCTCACGGCAAACCGCAGCGGACACCGCAAGTCATTCCAACCAGTCGAGCGCGGCGAAAGTACCGCGTGGCTATTCGCACCCACTGCTCTTCACTGATACCCTCCCCGAAAGTCACTGGACAATCAAGCGGCATTTGGTTAGATTAAATGGCTCGTTGTCGTCGTTCGTGGTACAGTCGACGATCCGAATAAGCACAAACATATACAGGTTTGCAAGTCCGGCCTCAGGGCGCCGCAATCTTTTTCAGTGGGGTGCGCTCTTGGGCGCGGCCATGATCCGATTACGACGCCTTAACAAGGCTTCGTAATCGGATTATGACTCGTCCAAGCGCACCCAGCCAAGCAAGATGGCAACGCTCTAAAGCCGGACTTGCAAACGTGTATATGTACAGGCGTTGAAGGCGTGGCTATCATTCCAACAACATTCGATTTATTGCAAGCGGCATTATAATCACCATAAAAATAACGGAAAAACACACACGTGTGCTTGCAAGGTTTCGCAGAAATGAACAGCGAAATTGGGCAACAAAAAATAAGCAGCAAAATATAGAATGTTTCTTCTTTGAAAACACGTGCCGCACCCAAGGTTTTGGAATTCTTGGAAGTGGATTATGAAATGATAAGCACGCCTACGCATATTTAAAGTATAAAAGCGCATCGAAAGGGATCACGGCACGGCGGAAAATGGGAGTCGCATCAGTTCCAATGGGTCTCAAGTACGCAGCTTTCTTTGCTTGCATCGCTATCACTAGTGCCTGGCAGGCACAAATGACCATAAAAAATCCGGAAAACAACGCTGCGCTTAACGACCCTAAATATGGACCTCTCCAAAACGCCTGGAAGGTAAGTTATCTGCAAACATAAAAAGAAAAAAAAAAAAAATAGGGGCGGGCGAAAAAATGTATTTATCAATATCATAATGTGCCTAATCATATCGTAATCTGCGAAAGTTTTAGAGAGATCTTATTTTAACTTGGAAGATGTTGAATTCGCGTTGTATATAGCTTCCGGTGATCGCTGTTGTTTGAATATGACAGAAGTTAAAGAAGATATTCGGGAAGTCTGCATAAGGAGATATTTCCCCCTGAAGCTCCTTCAAGTGAAAGGGTCCTTCGCCAGAACTCTAGGAGCAAGAAAAAACTGTGGTGGCAATAATACATTACGGAACATTTGCACGAAAGTCTCTGAGTGGACTGATTAGGCTGTTAATTCTAAGATTTTTTCTGCTCGACAACCGTTACCGAAGAGTGCGCTTTCCAGTGTGATGAGACATGTAACTGTCTTCTGCCTGGACGCATCATGAAAAAGTCTGTTTTTCTTGTCTTCATTTTCTGTGGCCACCATCCGCATCGCCTTTGCGAAGGCTACGCCAATGCGGATCGCAAGTTCGTCCGCGTTTTGCGCAGGGGTTGCGATAGCGTCCAAATGCTGAACTTTGATTGGCTCAATTGGAAGTAGAGTAAGTAGAGCTAAAGGCAGCCAGCATTGGGGTCTACCCACTATCCTTTCAATCAGAGCCATCCAGAACTCGGCGTTCTGACGTCACCGGAATACCTGCACAAGAAGCAGACGAAATTGCGCTCCGCATTGGGTCAAGACGTATTGTCGTAGCTCTTTCAGAGGACAATGTTACTTAGTATCTAGCTCTACCATTATGGCATCGGTTTTAAAAGTTGTTTTACATGTTTGAAGAATCGGATGTCTGCCAAATATTTATTCTTGCTTAGATCATAGCTGTATATGAATTTATCTAAGGCAGGTATGCGCAGGATAGCTATACCGACTGAACGATTTCAGATATCTCAAGGCAGACAATGTTTAAGAGTCAAATAATTTACAATATATTTACGTGAAACAACAATTTCTTTACAAATCAAGTTGCATTTCTACTTCAAATGCCAGGCATCAACAAAGTGACCGAGGGTATATATGAGAAGGGTGTACGTATATCGCTAGGGGTTCAGTAGCACATTTTTATTCCTTTCTTCAACACTGCAGAAAATGTTAGTAAGAAGGACATAAATAGCGCCGCGCTCTTAGAATCGAACCACCCTTTGAGCGCCCCTATAATACTTATCATTTCAAGGCACGTTTTATGCGTTCAATGGCCGGGCACGTACGGCAACGTACTTGCTATCGGCGATGAATGAAGCGCGAACAGGTGGTTGCGAGGGTGTACACAAATAATTCACTAGTACATTTCACTGAGGTCAGTCGCATTAGGCAGCGCGCCGACTACACAAAATCTTCCCTTAGCGGTGTGGGCGTTTCACGTTGGAGATAATTTATGTACATCGCGCTCTTCAAGTTGTCGCGTACTCATGCTATGCAGAAAGAGAGGGCTGCCGCCGGCGCGCCATAATGCCGAAACCCCAAGACAGCAGGGCCCGCTGTTTTCGCTGTCTCGACCATTGATGGCGCATGCTAGAGCCTTATATACTGAGAGAGTTTGACCGACGGGCGGAGCCTGTTGCCCGCTAAAACGAGCGGACTTTACGATAACAAAAAATTGAAGTTTTTGCTTTTGGCCACTCTACTTACGTGCGCTAGTCGAAATTTTCGGTTAGTAGTTGTTTCATAAACACAATTTCTTGTACTTTGACATTTTGTTATGCCCCCAACTGGTCACTATATTCAAGCACTGGCCTACATTTCATGATCTCCAAAAACGTAACTTACAAATAACCTTTATTTATTTAGTTTTAAAACCAAATTAGGCTTTATCATTCAAACATTAATCTGGCGATTGTGCGCAAGGGTCCGCAGTGCCTCTCATAGATGACGCTCGTCACTGCACTGAATTTTAGCGGTGGTCATTTTTGAGGCCCAATATTCAAAGTACTCTGAATTCATATTTAAAAAAAGAGGAATAAGTTTAAGCTCATATACATTTAAGAGGTCGTAGCAGGTAAGTAAGTTTGAGCTTCTGACTACGAGTGCGGCGCCAAACACACTTACATTAGCGATAACACTTTTATTACAATGGCGGGTAACAGCATACCTTGCGTGCCTAATCCAGAGTGGGTTAGAAATTCGATTACACGAACAGGCGGAAACAAGTTTCCACCTCCTGGTTGCCTTACGTCCAGCTGTGGTCGCTGGATTGTCGGCATCTCCAAGAAAATGCCAAATGTTCCCAGTATAAAGGGCTTTGGCGCGTGACACCCCTCCCAATTCAGAGCAAAAGCCATGAGAGCGCACGCATGCGACCGTTCCAACTGTACGAACTTTGTTGTTTTTAATGCCATTAGATTTTGTTGGAGCGAAATGTATTCTCCTAGTAAATTATTTAGTGTTTGCATCGGAGTAAGCCAGGATAAGCGCGGATACCATTGCACCGCCCTTTCGAGTTGTCGGATTCATCAGCCTTCACGTATCACAGCATGCATCAGCGGCCACGCGTTCCGCCGTTCGTAGTTTATTCATAGTCGACAGTACAGCAGAATCGGAAGTGATTCTGCACTTATATTGTGATCCCCCCCCCCCCCCCAGTAGTCTCTGTCAAAGCACATAATGCAGTCGCTGGTCGCTACCTATTCCCGCGGAAAATAGGAACTGAAGCACCCAATCCGGCCTTTTCACGTGTCTGCTTTTCCCACATGCTCTATTATTTCTCAATTTGTGATATACCCCGAAGTATCGGACCTCAAATTCGCGTTTTATGATTGGATAGAACCACAACTTCCTGGTGTAGTGGCAAGCACGGCAAAAAGTATGAACGACTGTTTCAGCTGATATTGTCCGCAATAGTACATCCCTCAATAAAAAAGAAAAAAAAAAGCCTAATTGCAAAAGTGAAAAAAAAAAAAAAAATCTTTTAGCGGTTGTTTTCGCTTGTCCGTACTTTTCACCCTAAAAGGTTTGGTTAAGCACCACCTAGAGGGGTTTTCGTTAAAAACCTTGCGAAACAGTCCTTCACTGCCTAGTTGCCTTTCCAATGCGCCAGGGGGCGATTGCGCTTGAAGCGAAACCGTTCTTCACGAGCTGCAAGAGTTTTTGTGGCATCGAAGAAGCTCCCAAGAGCGTTTTTTTTTAAATCGCAGTCTTGTGAGCAAGGTACGGGGTACGGCCTTTATGGAGCGGCGCTTTAAACATTTGCGTTAGATTTGCGCAATTTTACCAAAGCCTTGCCACATAATAAAACAGGTCAATGGCGAAAACACCGTGTTGGAGAGCCTTTAAATCGCACAAGAGGATCGGCAAAGGCAGGAAAAAGGTCGTATACGAAGAAGGTAGCAGGGGACCTGCGATTGCTTATCCACAGCTCTTTCCATTTTTCATCCTTCCTCGCCAAAGAGAAAAAAGAACCGCTGCTGTATTTCCACACCCTCCGAACACACCCGACTTCGCCTCGTGCGGATTCTCATTGTTTCCTTGGCTGGCATGCCGGCTTCAGCGTTGTCAGTTTGTGAGCGCAGATGGAAAGAGCACGATGCAGCTTGAACTGAGAAATCGCGAAGAATAGGTTCTAGAGAAGTGAATCGACAAGCTCTAAACCAAACACGTTCACGTTACTGAAAAAAAAGTAACTAAATGCAGTTACTAATTACTCGCTCTAAAATATCTAAGCACGTTACTCGTTACCGAGATTCAAAAATAACGCATTAGTTAACGAATTACTTTCGCGTTAATATCGATGTGTTCTTTTTCGTAAGCAATAGCAGCCTTTCAGTACTTCGTGTCGTCAATAATGCCTATAGCTTTTTAACGCATTTAACGGCATATTTTTTGAAAATTTATTGTTGGGTTTTTTCTTACTGTGAAAGTCACAGGCGCAAGCTGGGGCGAAAAGCAAATACGGTAACTTGTGTTTTACACGTTCCTTTCCAAAAATAACTAAATACCATCACTTGTTACTCCGTCAGCAGGCAACGAAAATCTGAAACTCGGTTATTTTCTCAAGAAGTAACAAAGTCGTTACTTCGTTACGATGAGTAACTATATATGAGTAACGCGTTACTTACAAAGCGTTGGTACAAGTTTGCTCTGAGCCAAATGGCCCAAGTAGGTTGCTGAGAGAGGAGCTTCTTTTGAAGGAGGATGCATGCTCAAGTCTTATATCTTCCGCAATCTCTGGACATTTAAAATCTGCCACGGAGCTTCTAGATTCTACGACGTATTTCTTTATTATTTAAACTAGCTCCTGTTTTTTCTTGATATGTAAACAGCGTTTCAGGAATCACTAACTTGTATACATCCTTTTAAGTCTGGTGAATATCATCTCAAATTTGTTGTGAACTGCGTAGTTTCAGCGGTCGACGTTCTCATAGTATAGTTTACACTATTTTGCCTAGATTTCCACCGCTGTGGCATTGCTCACTTCATGTATGCGTGATTTTCAGAAATTAAGTTTTAAAAGTTAAATTATTGTCCAGAATCTAAATCATGCATTTGCTTAAAGAAGGGACGACCCACCGGTGATGTAATTTTGGGAAGGAGATCACCTTTGGGTTATTTTGTTTCAAATCGTGCAAGAAAACATGTGGGAATCTCAGGAAATTTGGAAAAAAATATATTTTGGTAAGACATGTGTGACTAGAACAAGGTTTTAAATTAGAACTACGAAAAATGTTTTGTTCTTGAGTTTTGGGCTTCGTAAGAACAGAAATACGTCTTGCGATTCTTGCAGTTTTCACGAGTGACACATTTTGGAGTCTCGCAAAGCTGAGATGCTTTTTTTTCGCAACCATGCTAACTTTTGTTTCTTCTCTTAGTATTTGTATAGAAGGGCTGAAATTCATTTTATTTTATTTTATTAAATACAAATGATTGAATCTTTCATCTTTGACAATATTGAGCCAAGTTTGAATCCAGCTAGATTTCGATGTACAATTATGCAAGGGATAAGAAACATCTTAAATAAAAGCTTGTATCTACGCCTATTTAAAAATTATAATATTGCCAATTTTAAATGTGGTTTATATAAAATAAACAACACTATAAACTTGAAACGCAAATCCGAAACCCCGAAGTTTAACCTCATTTAAAAAAGAGGTATTTTTATTAATTTAGTTTTTTTACACCAAAAGATTTTTATGCGTTTTTAAATATACAATAATTAATTTATTTTACATGATGGGTTCGTGATATTGAGAAGTGCGTTTGAAAAGAAGACATATTTGTTCCCCATTTAAGATGAAAAGGTATGGGCAGTTACCAAACATTTTACATCATTGTTATATATATGTCTAGGACGTGACCATTGTTTTTATAATATTTGAGCTGCTGTACCATTTAGTAAAAAGACGCGTGGCTGGTATGTTATGATAATTAAGAAGTTCATACACAAGTCCAGACTTACAAAATCCGTGATTCACCAAACTGTTTTTAAACAAACGTTTTGAAAAGTGTTTTTTTTTAGCAAGTATAAAAACTAACTTTCGCTAACTTTTTACGTCAGACGATGACGTACATGGGTCCGAGATAAATTGTTTTAAAAACACAGCAGGCCAAGTGCGAAATTTTTCTCCCTTCATGCGGCCGTGTTTTCACGTATACTGGCAAGAAACTAGGCTGGTTCAAACCATCTTGACCTCTTTATATTAATGAGAAAGCATTGACTGTCCCATGGAGAGAGCAGACGTCATCAGCCGCGCCAAACGGCAGATATATTCCCAAAGCCACGATCTGAGGCATTCCAGCTTTGAAACCACGCAAAAATCCGCGCAAAACAGTTGTGATATGAAGCCGCCGCGCGTCAATTTCAGTTAGCGCCACCCCATACCGCTGTGTGCCCGCGGCAGAGCACAAACAGCCGAGGACCCCACTGATCCTCTCGGCGCCTCGGACGTTTCTGCTCCGGCGTTGGCACGCAGCGCCGAGAGGATCGTCTCGGAAGACCTACCTTCTGCCTTTTCGAAGCCCGAAACTCAAGAACACAAATTTCCCGTGGTTCTATATTGTTGTTTTCTTCTAGTCACACAATTTCCACGAACATATTTTTTTTTTTTCAGAAATCTTTCAGGACCCATCGTCTTTTTCTTGCACGATTCGAAAGGAAATTACCGATATATTGTTTAGTTTAATTTATATATAAATATCATTGCTTTTAGGCAGTGCAGAGAAATACCTAACGGTTTAGTGCAGGGATAACAAATATGTGGAAAGTTTTGTAGCATCAGTGGGTGCTGAGATTTCTGCCTGCATCCCTGGACATTTATATATTTCGCTTCAAAATTCTTAAAAAAAAGCGAGCGGTAAGGTTTTTTTGGATATAATCAGAGAAACACAGCGAAGGGCGTTACAGACGTCACAGCAGATGTGCTCTCCGACAATGCGTTCTCATGTGCTTTATTCCAAAGCAGTGATTGGCTCATTGGTTCCATAGCCTTCACCGTTTTTCAAGTTTTGGTCAAATAAAGGGTAATTGAAACCTAATAAACATTTTGTGTGTTCTTTAATATTGAGCGCTAAATCTTTTGTATTTCAGGCTCTTGAAAGAAATGATACATATGTACTGCTGTTTCGTTCAAAAAATTACGAACCAGATATCACTTGTGTGAAAGTAAAATCAACTGTATATAACAAAGAGCAAAAAATTGCCAATTACACGAGGACATATCTCAACATGACTTCAGGTGATCGGTAAGTAGTCGAAATATAGATGTTATTAAAATAACATTTTAACGGCTTCATGAAATTATATTACCTTAAGAAAATTCACATTACTTTGGAAAATGAAAATGGTTGTTTCTATGGATTGAAATAGTAGGTGGCAAGATGAAAAACCTATTTCGTGACGGTTGTGTCATGGGGCAGAATCTACTGAATTCTAAACTGTGGCCGTTCAAGGTACTAAACTTCTAAATAGTTTACCTAAAAAAGGAACTCAGCACAATTAAAAAAAAAAGAAAATGTGGGGCAATCGTTAATATTTTATGCGAACTAATGAACGGCATAGCGCAATTGATTTGGTGCTTCGCATTCTTATATTGTAATTCTCATTTAAAATAATTTTCAACGGACACCGAAACGTTACCTGCTTTACAAGGTTTTTTTTTTTTTTTTCTCGATATTGCGTGTAGTTTTATATTACGACTCAAACTTTGGTTTCGGGTGTCTACGGCAAAACCGAAACTCTCTGCCACAGGGATGGCAACACTGATCATCAGCCGTACGGCCGCGACGTTACGTCAGCATGGTGCCAGGTACACGGTACAACGTGCGGAATCAACCACAGTTCCGACTCCACGTGACATTACGGATGTGCTGCATCAATGTTCCTTGACTAAAAGCTGACCCGCTCACACCTACTAACGAGCTGCTGGTCGTATCTTTATAATCAGTTTTAGTGGAGTGCGCGGCCTTACTATGACGTCATATTTCAGCTGTGACCAGTCATTTATTTTGGTATCGTTTTGGACCCGGGTTTTCCTTTAACAAGTTCCGTCTACTTCGCTCTTCAGTCTCTGCTACATCGGATGACCCCTGTTAGACTGTCTTGGTAACCACAGTCTGAGCAATGTTTTCCAACCACCCGTAAATACCGCAAGGTTCTTAATTAACCGCAACTTGACGTTTACTTGACGTTTGGCTTTGCAAGCGATGAATAGCATTGCGTAGCTCCCAGACAGGGATGTTCCGGTCGAAACCGGAAGTACTTAAGCTTTTGCGCTCGTTACGTCGAGGGAGCCTTCATGTAGACAAACATTATTTTTATTTTGATATATGATCTCCCGTTATTAATTAAACCTTTCATGAGCGTATGTACGATACTGCACCCTGCATTTCGCCAGTGTCAAAGGCTGACATCCGTACCTGCTGCATGACATCACAAAACGCAAAGATTTGCCGGATGGTCGGAAAAACAAGCGTTTGTCGATGGATGTCTTGTATTTTGTTTCGAATTATATAGTCTGCTAGGCTGTGCCTTACTGAAATACTGTTTCTTTAATGCAATTTCCAAGCATGTGCAAAAAAAGTCACGTCTTTTAGCAGGATATTACTCGAAAACAGTAATAAGCTTTGAGCAAACGTATGCCGTTTCGTGCAACTGCGACGGCCACCGAACGAACTAGGAGCGCTTGCAAAGCAAAGGATGCCGATTTCGCCTCTGAAGTGGCACCGAGGTACACAAAGTGGCATCTGAATACACGTATCGGCGGATCCACTGGATCGGTGATGAGGCTACGGGTCGCTCCTCAGAGGCGATGTCCGCGGGTCGAAGGCAAACGGTGAATCGTTCAAATGCATGTCGTCACTTGACTTGGACGAGTTTGGTGAATCGTAGCCACGCTCTATTTTCACATGCGAGTCAAACAAAATTTGGCTGCACGCGTGCTAAATATAACTTCTGGTATCGTTGCCAGATGGCCTAGCTGTTGGTTTCGGTTTCGCTGCATAATCAAATTGATTGATCCGATTTGGGCGAGGAGTGGATGGACGCAGTTTAATATCGTTGGCACAGAATCACACCTCAGCTTACGAGCCTTCTGTCCGCTTAGAGCTCAGCTCGTAGCTCTCTTCTGTGAGATGATTGCTGCATGAGCGGGATCTCGATCTTGACGGGAACCCAGACCCTACACACGGCGACGATCCAGTTTGCTCGTCACTTCACGTCTCGCCGAAAAGTGTGGAACGCCATGTCTTAGGTCGCATGTGCTGCCCGGTGGTTGTGGCACCCAACCGCGCAACACAAATCTCACTCAACCACGAAACAAGTCGAGCACAACGACAAAAACGAAGCACGCTGAGGCGTTCACTCGCAGGCAAACGACGAGACACAAATGCTCACTTTGTGTTGTGTGATGTCAGAGCCTCAATGTTGCACGCGAAAGCAGCATTTACGCTAGAATACAATTGGAGCAGTATACATTCAATTAGTCATGCAGAAGGGCATATAAAATTCATATATTGCACGTACGATGCGTCTCGAAGCAATAACAATGATATTCAGTTGCTTTCTCGAATACAAAATTTGACCGGACAATCCCTTTAAACTTGACCCTCGTTGAAGTTTCTACCACCGTCCAACCGCAATAAAAGAACAGATTCAAACAATAAATTGTGCATACCGCATAATGGGGAGGGGATACATACGGCGGTAGTTTTAGCTCTACATCAAGCGAAACAGTAGATTGAATCTACTAGAATGTCACCGAAGATGTGATTTTGCGAGGAGAACGTTCACCACCACCGCCCAGCACTTTAAAAACAACCAGGGGACATAAAACAAATGCTGACCTTCTAAGCCGAAGTTCGACGTCAGGTTTCAGGTTATTGATACGAAACGTATAGTCCACTTGAAACAAAATAGAACAAAACAAAGATCATGAGCCATTTCAATCTATGAAGGTGGATAACCAGCGAAGCTGTTTAGCACACGACACAAACGTGACAAAAATATTGTACAAAGGTACGAACATATTTATTGTCTTGATATATGGTCATCGTGACGAAACGTGCGCACACACTAGTCAAGGTTTATCGCCACCCCGAGGAGCCGGAGGAAACTAGACACGAGGGACGGGACGACCACCCGGCGGAAGGAAAGGAAACTAGGCACGCAAGCGCTTGAAACGGCGACAAAGAGAGGGCGGTGCGAGCCCTTTGTGAGGTTTTGTTGACGCACGTTAAAAATCCACGGAACCCGAGCCCATAAACAGCTTCGCTGTAAAAACGGGGCTATGTAAAAACACCGACGTTTCAAGCGCTAAAAGCGCTTGAAACGTCGGTGTGCTCTCTATGCGTCTATTTGGCACGTCGAGCACAGTTGCGGCCAGCACGTCGCGGCTTCTGCTCGGCGATCTTCCTTTTTTGACCTCACTCTGAAACTCCCCCCCCCCCCCCCCCCCCCGCCCAACGGGATATAGACGGGATGGCGACACGCGCACCACATTCTGTCGCACATGCCCATGTTTGGATGCTAAGATCGGGATATTGCTTCGGAAAGGTGGCTACTTATGTGAGTGTAACAACAATTATAAAGGGCCCTGCGGGCATCTCCTATTTAGCAAGGCCGGCGGTATCAGATAGACGGTCGCGTGACGCAAATACAACGTTGTTACTGGGACAAAGAGAGCTGGTGGGTCTTTCGTTCGCGTTGAAGTGACGATGCGCACATCCAGTGATCTCTGTATAGGGAGTATTCACTGGATGACATATTTGTGGGTGCTCTTTAAAGCGCATGCTCAGAGCGAGGTCACATTAAGAGGCTGCTAAGACCGGCAATCTTGATGGTGTGGAATGCAGGCTGAAAAAGAGCTGTGGAAGCTCGCCGTCACTACGCGTTCAGCAGTCGCGCACACAGCTATGGCCGCCAGTGAATACTCTTTATACTTCGTTCCCTCTTAAGTTGAGGCTGCAGCCGAAGCCAGAAGCACGAGGGCTCGAGGTCGCTGCTTTGAAGCGTTCTTCCGCAGAACGAGCGCTCACGCTAGAAATGTATGTCTCAAGGCCAGGAGCGCGGGCTAGCTCGCCCTTGTAGCTTTGGCTGCACTCTGAGTTTAAGGGCGAACGGAGTATTGTAGGGTTGTTCGTTTTCGGCTAAAATCCGATTTTACCCCATTTTTACACCCCGAACATGTTTTAGGAAAATCGGGTTAAACCCGATTTCTCCCCGAATTCCAAAGCCACATAACCAACTTCTTTATTTTTACGCCGCACGGAGTTTGCCGTGCACACACGCTATCTACCCTACTTCGGGACAACAGTGACCTGTAGTTCATTTCGCAAGCTGCGTGCAGCACTGTGGACGCTACACGGCTCTTAACCAACCGCCCAACAAGCGCGCCTAACTCACCGTGGCATTCTACGGAGACCGGCTGAGGAAAAGTGACACTAGGCGTTGGGGCCTCGGAGGGACATTTCCGTCCCCCCGCTGTGCAGGTGGAACCGCCTCGGCACGCCACGTAGCTTCGGCCCTGCTGCACGCAGCTTGTGAAATGCACTATCAATCCCCCTTCGATCGCTGAGGTGTCGACGCCCAACAGGGTCTCTCGGGTAGCATGGCCATCGCGCTGACGTCCAACCTTTCTCACGAACAACGTTCGAGCCAGTCAGTCGCGTAAACAGATCGGGAAAACTTAACAAGTTTATTTCATAGCGAAATATGTGATCGAAGACAACCGTCCCTTGAACGGTCGGGATTTTTGTTGTCACCTGAGAGAGAGGAGGATTTCTTGGGCGGTACTTCCCTTGAAGCGACCGACGGCAGTCGAAGCTGGAATACCCTGATGCCCCCCCCCCCCCCCCTCCCCCCAGTTACCAGCTTGAAACACATCCCTAATTTTAACGCGTTAGCAATAAACAGCTCGTAATACCCTCAATAACAAAAAAAAAAAAACTAATGTATTATCGAGTACGTTCGTGTATTTAACCCGAAAAAACCCGAATTTCCGAATGTTTCCTCAAAAAACCCGATTTCTCCCCGATTATCAGCCTGAAAAAGAGCACCCGATTTTTACCCCCCAAATTTAGAAAAATATAAAACCCGAAAACGAACAACCCTAAGTATAGTATACTCCGTCAACACTTAAGCTGAGACTGCAGACAAAGTTAGGAGCGCGAGCTAGACTCCGTTTACCCTTAAGCTGAGACTAAAAGCTCCGCGTTCAGCGCGAGCTTTCTGCCCTTGCTAACACAAGTGTGAACGCGCAGGCACACGCAACCAAACCCCTGCGGAAGCCGACGAGCTCGCGCTGAAGGGGGAGCTTCTATACTTCGTTTCACCTTAGGATGGGCTATTGTTAGCCGCGCATGCTAAAAGCGCGAGCTATTCGCTTTGGATAAAGCCTCGGCGGCTGCACGAGTGCTCGTCCAGCGAGCGCTCCAGTCAAGGCAATCGAGGCTAACCGCTCGCGCTTGCAGTGCCTTCGCTTCGCAGTTAGTCTATGCTAAGGTGAGACGAAGTATAGTCTCAACTCAAGGGTGAACGGAGTATAAAAGCTCAGCCTTCAGCGCGAGCTCGCTGGCTTCCGCAGTGCTTCGGTTGCGCGTGCCTGCCCGTTCACACTTGTGCTAGTAAGGGAAGAAAGCTCGTGCTGAAGGAGAAGCTTCGAGTCTCAGGTTAAGGGTGAAGGGCGTATAGCCCGTACTCCTGACTTTAAGGAGCGCCCTTCTGGCGCGGGCACTCGTTCTGCGGAAGAACGCTTTAGAGTCACAATCTTTTGCTTTCGTGTTTTCTTCATTGGCTGCAATCTCAGCTTGAAGGGGCACGGAAACAAAATGACGTGAGCATGAGGTCTCTACCTCTCGCTTCAAAGTCGGCCAGCGAGAAGCGCAATGCGTATCGCGTTCGTGACGTCAATGGTTTATGCACGGTCAAGGGCTCTGTAGTTGCGCGCCTTGCTCCTTGGTGGCGTCAACGCGTTACAATCTCGCCCAGTTGTAATATCGGAGGGCGATATCTCAACGTCACCGATTTGAAGCGTTCTTCCGCAGAACGAGCGCTTGCGCTAAAAATGCCTGTCTCAAAGCCAGGAGGGCGGGCTAGCTCGCGCTTGCAGTTTTGGCTGCTGTCTCATCTTATGAGTGAACGGAGTGTAGTAAACGCGATAGCGTTCTCCGCCAACTCACATTCAGGACTAACTAACTCCACGTGCGAACTGACGCTGCTTCTTAGGAACTCATGTCGTCGCGGCATTCCAACGGAGCTTCACAAACCGCAACCAAACGCAATTTCCAAATCTGTTCATTCGTTTTAATATAAGTTTTTCTGACTCATGCGCCTGCAGCCCTGGAACACTCGTCTAGGCTAGTGTTTCTGGGCTGTCGGCAGAACCTAGACCACATCCAAACAAAGAAATAAGTGAAAAACATTTCCTTTCGGTACCACTTTAAGGGTCAACGAATTATAGTAGGCTGAATTCCACATCGGCAGTCGTCGGTGACCCCACGAGAGGTAATTGCTAGACATCAAGCGATACACGAAAGCGTAGAAAAGAACTCGCACGAATGTAAAGATATCAAAGCTTGTACGCGGTGCTTAACGTTCAATATTTTATGACGTTCTGCTGCTAAATTGGTATTGATGTTTTATGATCTTAGAAGCTTTCAATGGTGTCTGTTCCGCTGCTAAACTGCTTAGAAATAGAGCTGTATTTTGGTATGCTTAGGAGTTTTTTTCGCTGTATTTGAAACATTAAGTGACAGATTCTTTGCGCAATAATAGTGTGTAAAACAATAAGGTGATTGGTGATTAATGTGATTATAATGCTTGAAACGATAAGGTGAACACGCCAAGCCCGCTTTCGGCCAATGGCGCCTCCTCATTTGTCTCCTATAGTTCCCAATGAATGGCCAAACTCTACATAGACGGCTCTGAGATCGAGCATCTACAGACCTATTGCTAAATTACCCAAGCGCCCAGGATAATGCCTTGAATGGTGTTCCACGCGCCGCACGCGCACGCCTTCCACGTATAAAAGATTCGAAGTAAATAGCCACAATAAAGCATTGATAAACGCGCGTTCAAGATGCCATTTGTTTTAACCTTTTGCTTTAGAACAGTTACTGCTGCAGACGCCGGCACGTGCGGCGCGTGGAACATCGTTCCCTGCATTCTCCTTGATGCTATCAGTAGGTCTGTTCTCCAACTACATTGTGCCCTCAAACTGTAAAGTGAAAAAAAAAAAAAAAACGTTATTCGGAAGTTTTTAGGGAATTATATATCTATTATCACCAAAGTTTTTCTTAAAACAAACCGATCTTGCATGTTTTCAAGGATAGTCAGACGATGTTACTACGGTAAAAAAAAAAAAGAACACATATAAAACATTAGGTTTCCATCGATCAAGTATTAAGTGTTTGAATAAATTAATTCAGATTTATATAAAGTGCGGTCTCATATACATATTGATTGCAACATGAGCATATGCGGCGTGCCCATAAAGTCGTCACAGTATAAAAAAAAAGTTCAATTCCTTTTGTGCTTTTTTCTCCATTTTGCTTGTCAATTTTCTCTACGTCACATTACTATTGTTCAACATATTTTTCATGAGCTTAATTTTGTGACTTGTATTATTTGTGGTTTAAGCTTAGAGTATTATTTAGGCACATAGAATAATCTCAGGACTTTTACGTACTTGGTTGCCGTAGCAGTTACGAGTATCGGAATATGGTTACCCAACGACAAATATATAATAATTTGAACAGGTTAAAGTGTTTTTCAAAGGCATTCAATGCGGTCCAAGAGCTATATTATTATTAATTTCTAAGGAGAGCGTGTATTACGCATTTAGAAATTGTCGATTGCAAAGTAAGCAACGAACGCTGAAAGTTTCTGCGACAATGATAATATATAATTATGAGAGCTTTCGCATTTTAGGAAAGGTATAATGTACAGTGAGACTCGGTAATAATTTCGAACTCTGCCCAATTTACCTTCTTTTTCAGGACGAATTTAGAATACCAAGTCAGAGCATTAAAGCATGGCCGATACGAGATAGAAAATGTAATACGTGCAGGCTTGAAGGGTATGTAACACATGATTGAATTCTGCAAAATATCAGTTAAAGAAGTAATGTATTTGTATTAATACCAGATCTAGGCAAAAAAAAAAAGAAAGATGTTTGGAATCCTCTGTAACGCCGAATTAGAGCGCAGCTCTTTAGGAGGAGGAGGAGAAGGTACAGAGAGGAGGCTATGACCCTCCTCCTTTCCTGCTTGCCTGCCATTTAGGAGAAATATTTCCGCTAAATGTAGTGGGGAATTTTCTCCGCTAAATTTAGCGGGGAATTTTGTTCAGCTAAATTTAGCGGGACAAAGTTTCCGCTAAATTTAGCGGGGAAAATTTTCCGCTAAATTTAGCGTGGGAATTTAGCCATTATGCACCGCGCGGGTACGCCGACGGCGCTCAAGCCGGAAGCGGGCGCATTAGAAGAGCTGCGCTCTAAAACAAAACAAAAAACCGGAGCCCCTAAAATGTTTACAATGAAGAAATACCAATGCGCTCAGAAAGAATATAATTTTCCTCGGTGGTAGGAACGAATGTATCAGGGAGCATGCATCTTTGCAGAGGTTTCTAAAACATGTCTTCTGGATTGTTTATAATTTGGCCAAAATATCAAGAATGATCCACATTTATTAAATAGCGCAGGGCAAAGCGCAATAATATTGACTGCAGATATTGTTGTTGTACATGAGGTAGGCGTTTAAATCGTTGCGTTTCGCATGAAACTTATTGTTGCCTTGTATATCATTAAAAGAATTTGTTTTTATCAGGTAATAGAACTCCAACAATGACCTTCATTAATGAAATTCAAATTTGAATCCAGTAACTTATCACAAAGCGTCTAATATAAGCCGTTCTTTAGGAACCAACATTTTATATGCACTTAACAAACACATAGTGCGAAAGATAATTGTTTATGGCCGTATAAAATCTTGCGTAAAATGGTTTGATGGTCACTAATTTCTAGCACAGACAAAAATCCCGCGGTGAAGGCTGAATTTTGGCGAAAAATGTAGATTAAAATAATGGTAGTTATGATCTTTAGCTCAGAGGAGATTACTTCACAAAAATTGTAGTGAAAATATTTAGAAGATATTTTGTAGTCTCTTATATCGAGAAATAACAACAATAGTTCCTCTCAATAAAGTAAGAGTTGGAACAGTGAAGAGAATATTTTTAATTTTGGTGTTTATTGATTGTTACAGTAATGAAGTAAAAAAAAAATTATGCCAAGCGCTTTCAGGTGGTACATAACATGTACTCAATGGCGGCGTAACTACGTGTTCATAGAGTTCTTAATGGGTCTGAAGGACATCAGCGCATGTACCGTAAATGCGAGGGACTCGTACAGTACCTGATAGAGACGGCTGCCCAGATTGAAAACAAGCGAATGACACCGATTCCATTCAAGATTTATTTGTTAGTTTAATGGTTACTTGAAGGGCTTCAATCACCAGTTCTCTCAGCGGCAGTGTGAACGTTTTGCTAAAGAAGGTTCACACTGAAGTTTATTTTTAGTAAAAAAATATTCCCACCTTTTAAAAGGGGAGGAAGCATAACAGTGCTATGACGCACATCACACGGTATTTCACTAACTCATGAGTGCAGTGATTACAGTTTAGAAAGGCCTTTAGGATGGTCACTTGGATGACATGAAGTTTACGAAATGAACACATCTAAAAGATATATTTTTTAGCGGAATAAATATAAGGACAAACATATTTCTGGAAACCTACTTTGGGGGAGTATCTAATTGGAGAGAATTCCCCGGTTCATATAGCTATCGCGAAACTTAATTCAAGAAATCTTAGGTATAAAATTAATTCTTGGTGAAATGAACGTTGATGATATACGTTAAAAAGGTAAATCCGCTTCACCAACTTTGAGAGCGGTTGCACAGCACACTCCGCCATTCATAGCTTTGTTAATGGCAACGCCATACTATAAATATAAATTTTAGTACGAGGAAGGACACAACGGGCTGTCTCGGGGCCATCGGTACGAGCCACCGGCTCTTGCCGGTGGCGGTCAGTTTCGAATTAAAAGCCGAACCGCAAACGGATGTCTCCTTGCCCTTGGTCCCAGAACAACGTAACAATATAAACGTTGACATAATCTTAATCAGGTGTCTTTGCCGTCTATGCGGTTAATTTCTTCTATTTCAATCGGGAAGAGCGTCAGTACGGCTTATGGTCGTTAACAAAGATGTGTAGAAAACGTAAGGCGTCGCGTGAATAAGATCTTAGCTGTCTTAAAAAAAAAAAAGACAAGGCAATTTTGTGAGCTTTAGCTTTGATTCATTCTATATGGAGTATTCTACATACTGCCTACGAGAGGAAGTACGCGTACGGTCTCAAAGTAACAAAGTATTTACTGTTTTAAATGTGTAGTTACTTAACTTGGACATGACTTACCGTCTGTTAGTCTTGAAAATACCATTTCCCGAACAGAAACCTAATTAATTTAACCACGTTTCAAATATAAACGTCGTTTTTCTTTCTCAAGGTTAGGCTATCTTACAACGCAGGATAATATTTGTATATAAATATTATAAAGAAACATTCCTTCCATATATCTTCACAGGAGGCGCTCCAAGTGCGACCCCTAAACCTTTGGGGAGTAACATGTACATACAGTATGGCGACTTCTCCTGCAACTCATCAAGCAAACCCATGGTGGAAATGTGTAAGTCCAGCTTTTATGCTCGACGAATGTTGAGAATGTTTCTGCCTGTAGAGGGTGCATATCGATATGCTTTGACGTTATATTTGCACACAGTGCGTGACGGAACTTCTGGGGATAAAAATGAACTGAAATCCACCAACCCAGTGGAAGGACAAGATTATCTTGACTTCTATGAGGTGTACAGCCAACCAATTTGCAACATTCTCAGGTCTCCCTTTCTCCAAGGAGGTAAGCTGGTTAAAAACATATGGTGAAAAGTGTGAGGGTGAGATTTTGCATAAATTTAAACATCCAGGGGAACAAGAGCGAATTGCTGTGAAGCAAAACACGAAACAGTAAAATAATGATAACCCATTGCCTGTAATCCGAAATGAAACAAGCTGTACGGTGTATTTGCAAGTTGCGATTGCGCCGTGCTCGTATGCTATTTTTGACATATCAATCACTTTATTTCTTTGGGGTAGGCTCAATTTCGTTACGAGTGTATATTTTCTTAGACGCCCGTCACTCACTATAATTGTAGCTTGCCTTTTATGTCTCGAATCATGGCATCAATTCGTTGTTAAATATACATACATTGGGCAAACGTTTAGAGCAGCTTACATAAATAGTGTTAGTTTAAAAAAAAATAATGTTTATTGCACACAATTTTCTTTTTGGATGGGACAGTAATTTCTTGATGTCGCTGAAATCAGGTTGCCTGATTTATCAAATAGAATAAAAACTATTTGGTTGTAGCTGAAAGCCACCCTCTGACCATGTTGAAACCGATTTAAATTTGCGTTGAAACGAAGCTCATTAAACGTAGAAACACAGATGAAACATTTCTTTCTTGAAATTTGCTTTATGTAAAAAGATATTAGCAATTCGAATTTCAGAAATATAAAGAAAAGCAAGCACAAAATTTGGCTTTGTGACGCAAGTGGCTAGCGTTCAGGGATCTGAGCGAGGAGCCTCCAATCGGCTGCGAGTAGGGTAATGGCCGCTTCTGCGAGGCTGTGTGCGCTTGTAGTTACCCGACCCAGTCGCGTTTGTCGTTACCGATAAATTTAACGGGGCTATCAGAGGTGGAGCTCCGAAGTTTGAAGAGGAGAGTCAGGAATGAAGGCGTCGTGCGATATGAGGACACTCAACGAAAGAGCAGAACGAGTCTCACTCCGCCTCGTATGCCAGGCAAAACTCTTTGTCCGTCTCCCTCAATTCCACCAACGGAGCTGCCGGCATCGCCTCGGCGAGCGGGACGCACAGTCTGGTGCCCGGTTGCCCGGTTGCTCGAGAGTGCACAACAGAGCGTACAATGCGCTCCGTCTGTGCGTGTCACTTGTCGGCTGCCAGTGTAAAATACGCCGCTGCGCCTGCTACGCCCTCTGGGCCTCTCCGCTCTAAAAAAAACCGTGCGTCTACTTTCCCGCACAACACTAGGAGAGCCAATCACCGCCACTTACGGACGCAGCTTAGCGAATGAGACTGCGCTCTTTGGTCTAAACATATGTTTCGGCGTCGTCATTCGCTAAGCGGCCTCCAAGGCTAGCGGTGATTGGCTGCCCGAGTGTTGTGTGGAAAAGTAGAAACACAGTGTTAGGGGCGGGCACGTCCAAGAAGCGTTGTTTTTCTTGGTTTCCGATATTATAAGACTTTTTATCTTTGCTTTCTAGCTTCTATCGCTTAATAGAAATGATTCCTCGGAAGAATAACGAAGGTTTAGTAAATCACATGCTTTATTTCACTTTCAAAAATATTTCAGCGGCTCTCGCCCATCGGAGAATTCTTGGCCTATGACGCCACGAGCCGCGCGCGTTCAACACTGCTTGGCGCCACCGTACAGTTTGAGTTTTTTTAGCCTGGGCGAAGTAAAATAGGATAAATTAATATCTCGCGGTTTGTGCCAGCTCTCTTAGATCCACCAAGCCACAAAGGACGTAAATAACCGAAAGAGAGCAAACGCTCGAAAATGTTTAATTAACTTTCAAGAATTTAGACTTCCGTACAAAGTAGAACGAAAGCTCGATTTTCATTCCTTTTGAATCTTGGAACGACTTCCCTTTACAACATCCAATGGTTCGAAAGGAACGCGTTCCCATTACGTTTCTTCTGGAACAGGTAATTACATTAACGTTACACTTGCGTTTTTTACTGAAACATTCTGCTTTATAATTCCTAAATGGAGCGGGCCATTGCATTATTTTTATATTAAACATTAAACAATTAGCAAAAATTTACATTATACAATTCGCAAAAAAAATACAACAATCAAGTGAAAATATCCAAATCGAACTACTTATCGAATCGTCAGAATCACATTTGTTCCTCTTCTTTGTTTTGGAATATCTTTCGGACACTTCTCCATCCATCGAAGTTGACGGGTTGAAATAGTCGCTATTCAAAAACCTGTATGCTTACTGCATTATTTTCTCACTGCATTCAGAAGTTACCCCGGATTGCCTGAAGGTGCTACTGCAAAAAAACTACAAAAGTGAAAAAAAAAAAAAAAGCTTCGGTTGCATAGTTTATTTGTTCCTCCGACACCTTGCTCCATTGTTGGATGGTCTTGGCAAGAAATAAATTGGCCTACATGCTCGATCTGGCACGGTATTTTGTTACTGTAAAACAATGATAGGTTCATCTGCAAATATTGTACGGTTTTTTAAATAAGCTTTTTTTTAATGCCATATGTGCCATTGAATATTGATACTAAAAATGCAAGTCTTCATTTTCTCCGTCGTAAAAATATTAGCACGAAGGACAAAGGACAAGAGAGGACAGGACAGGACAAGTGCTACTTTATTTTGTTAAAATATTTTCCGTCGGACTGAAAGCAATTCCCTATTACATTTTTTTTAAAGTCAGTTCAACCCTCCTTTTGTGCGTATCATTCCAGAACAAACTTTGCTGCAGTATCTGCGATTTTTTTTTCTAGTTTTTCGATTAGGTAAATTTGTGCGGGATGAAACTGCAAAAGGAACGCCGTTCCTTCTTCCGTTCCCTCGAAAACGTAACAAGTTTCCGTTCCAGCTCCGCCAACGGAAACTGCAACCGCAGTGTTCCTACGTTCCTCCTAAACGGAACGCGTTCCTGTTCTGTAGAACACCGCTCTCGAGCACGGGCTATATTTCCCCGATATATTGAGTGTTGAAACTGAATTTGTGTATAGGTCACTTGACGTCAGGTAACGTGAAATAAGTTTTACGCTATACTTACCAAAGAAACTGAATTGATGTATAGGTGATATCAATTGACTTCACGTGACTTAAACACCAAACAGTTACCCCACCGAATTTGGCGGGAAACGCACGCACCGAGGGAGGGACAAAATTATGGGATTGGGGTAGCGTTTAACAGCATTTCATACTTGAGTAATAAAGATTCAAATAGTCTAAATAGTCAAAATGTCAAACCCCAAGCAGGTTAGAGGATAAAAACAATCTTATAATACAAATTTTGTAAAAAAATAAAAAAAAAAATAAAAAAAGTTAACGACCTTCCAGGGCGACGAGACTTTCCGGGTCTCCTCATCTCATTGATCACCGAAAAAATTCGGCGTTCGAATCCCGTCTCCAGCAAATACTGTTCTCTGTCGCTCTCTTGCCCTTATAATATTTAAGCAGTATGATTTATTCATCTGCTTTTTTATACTAAGAGGTAACCGTCATTTATAAGCTACTTTATTTCGAGTTTATTCCATAGAACTTTAACTACTTCTTAAATAAGGAAGTAGAATGTGTTCAACTACATTGTCCCGAAGCAAACAAGAGCAGTGAGAAGTGTTCCAAACCTCGAACGACAACAGGCAAGACAGTTTTTATTGTTTTTGTGTAACGGTAGAAAAGGGGTACGAAGAAGTGGTGCTTCTTGGGCTGCACCTGTGCACCACTGCCATTAAAGTTGAGCTCACAATTGAGGAGGTACCGACAGCAGGAATGCTCTGCTTTGTAATGAAATGTTGAACATCTACGTGCCGATTTGTTCGGCGTGCGTTGAAAATATATCTGGCAGAAAGAGCCGTGCTGACTATAGGCTGACTCAGACCTGCCCATCACAGCCCGAAGAAACTCGGGGTAGTACTGGAAGCTCTATTTCCTTCAGAAGTGCCCGGAGGAGCACGGAGACTAGCAACCGGGTTTTTGTGAGAAATACCTACCCAACTTTTCGCAACTCAAAAATAAACTAGGCATTGCGGGGAGCTCCAACTCTGTCAAAACGTAGCCCCAGCCGTTCGAGCAAGATGAAAGAATGTCAACACTTACAATTACCGAAATAAACAGTAAGAGGTAAAAAACTGTTTTCGCCAGTGAGCGGACGCCGTCCGTGAGAAGCAGCACACGAAATTCCTCTGTTTGCGACCGCAAGGTGGCGAAACAGAACATAGGGCAGATGATGCATGCGAATCGAAAATGTTTATATGTGTACATAAAAAATAAGAATTTGAAGAATTGCAATGAAAAATCCCCGCACTTTTTTTTTCAGGATGTGACCTCTGGCTAAACCAATCAATGTTGGCAGATGTGCTACAACGCGCCGACAATTTAGCACAGTCCGGTGATGCAACAGCACCAAAAGAAAGCAATGCTGAAGGACGTAATGGCGATGAAAGTGAAGCCAATAAGGAGGATAACAACAATGAGGAAAAAAGAAATAAGGCAAAAAAGTATGCAGCAGCCCTATTCAAAAGCCTCCCCCCCGCCTGCCGCTATGCCTTTATAGCATCATGTGGATATCCACAGTTTATGATGTACGATAAGGACACTTGTGAGAAACAAATCAAGGAGGCTACAACAATGACAAATACACCAAGTCAATAATTGTGTGCTCATGCATGCCTCTGGTGTGGTGGGCACGTGCGTGCGCGTGCTGACTCCAGAGTGATTATGTCATTGTTTCATGTGGCTCTTTGTATGCGTAGAATGAAATAAAATAAAAGAAGCTGAAAGCAACAACTTCGTTTAGTCTTTATTTAAAAAAAAAAAAAATAGCAGGAGGAATATTTACAGTAGGAATGTGCGAATATTCGAATTTTGTATGCGAATCGAATAATGCGCCACAATTATTCAATTTCAATTTCAAATTTCTAATATTTGAGTTCATGAATCATTCGTTATATCAAATATTAGTACTCATGACAATAATTCTGGTTTATTAAGGAACGCTCTTCACGCGGTAAAATATAGTCATCCCCCACAGCAGTATTGCATCTAAATCAAGCCTGGATTCATCACCTTTTGATGGCAAACAATATCTGTAGAAATTACTTCGCTTTCATGTTTTGTAATCAAAGCTGTTACGATCTCAGCTTCTCGGTGCACTGGACGAAACTCCGAAAACCGCGTACGTCTATATTTTGAATTCAGGGATCCTACGTCCCCTGCATCCAGCTCTGTTTCCTATACACAACTTCTCGGTTATTGTACCCATAATATAAGAAACGAGCCTAAAAATACAGATAACAACAATAATTGAACCGGCTTCTTCCGCTAGCAATTTCTAACCGCGGCTTCGAGCGAAATGCCAGGGCTAGGTAAGAAGAGACGTCGCTCAATTCAAACGGGTCAGCCACGTTCGTCCATTCATCCAATAGGCTAGCTTTCGTTGACATCGTTTTTATTCGTGCTGGCCTGTCTTCATTCCGCGTGCCCTGCGGGAGAACACACTGGTAGATTTTTTTTTCCTGAAATATGCGGTTTTTACTTTAGTCTAAAAAATATTTAGAATAATATTACTGGTATTAATATTCAATTTTACATTCCAATTTTTGGCCATTCTTCAACATTATACGATTCGAATTCAGTTGAAGTTAAAATTTAACTATTAGAACACCACTAATTTACAGGACTAAAGTTCAGTTTGAATAATTTTTACAGATCACGGTCATTCCTGTATGTTCGGCGTTAGTGCGTCGATTTCTATGCGTTAAAAGAATAGATGCACGTTTTATCTGCTCCATATTTGACTAGTGAGTGTGCCTGGTTATAAATGAACATAGTAAGTGAAGTAACTGCAGATTTCATTTGTTTTTGTTGTTTTAAAGGCGTGCCAAGAAGCTTTACCAGAACTAATTTAAAAAAAAGGTCGTTCTAAAATATTTAAAATTTTAATTTAATATGTTGAAGAAACACTTTCAGTTAATGCAATGCTTGGTAGCTAAAATCTACCTGCGATCGCTTTACGCAGTGAGTGCATGAGTGAATTTCTTGTTTTTCGTGTTTTGTATTTCCCCCTTTTGTGTAGACCGAAAGGTCCACAGGATGGAAATTACGTCCCAAAGTCCACGATAATTTCCGTGAACCGTCGGTTAGATATAATAAATTAAAAAGCTAGCAACGAACTGTACATCGAAAGTATATTTCAGAATAACAAAACAATGTTTAAAATGGCATCCTGCTATGAAATGAATTATCGTCAACTAATGAAAATTTCGAGACACTAAGTTACGAAGCATCCTTCGATATTGCATTTGAGACAATTGCGATAGCAATGTACTACACGTGAATTTAGTAATACACGTCAAATTTCCCCCCGACCTACAAATGTTTACCGCAGGGTAAGAAAATCTAGCTCGCCATCCTCCCCACTTCTCCCTCTCCCACTGCTCTCTTGACCCGAGGGGGGGTGTTCGTTTTCAGCCATAAAGTGGTTTCATTTGTTGTTTTCCTGAGTTGCCACGAAGAGAGATACCTCGCTCACGTATCGGTGTTTGCACATATGTGCGCGCACTTGCCTAGTGACTAGAACGCAGAGTGAAACGATTTGAAGGTACGGGCATTAGAGCTTTAGCACAGAGCAACTTTGATTACTTTATAAATTTCGCGGACGACTATCGCACCGCCGATACTGCCCACGACCGCCCAGCGTTCTGCCGTGCTTGGCATCGGCGCGATCTGTGCTCGTTGCACCGCCTGCAGAAAGAGACGCAGGTGGCGCAGGCCCCTGCGTCTCTTTGCAGGTTGGGTTGGAAAACGCGGCGGAACGGTGTGCGTCAAACGGCAGAGGAGCTCGCTCGTGGTGATAAAAAAGACTATATTATGCGCCGAGAAACTGAGGGAGATGAGAACGCGATAGCTAGCTGCCTATGTCTTCACTGTACTCGTCGAACGCGGTAGAACGCGAGAGCTAAACACCGGACGCCGGCGTACCGCGTCCTGATGGTCTTATGCCCCTCGACAAAAAAACATTCTACCTACCGCCACCACACCCTTTAACTATCAAGTAAAAATACGTAAGCTATCTCCTGCTTCTGGATGCCAATATTTGTCGTTACACAACATGCTGCGTGTTTGGCTGTACATAATTTTGCCATCAATAAACTTCTTTTACATCACCTCTTGCTGTGGCCGTTTTTTCCTGGGCTGGTGTACAAACCTTCTCCCAACAAGACACATAAACACTCATGCAGTTCTTGTTTTTAAAGCTGATTAAATTCTTCTTTAGAACTGAAGCTGTCTTTTTGTCGGAAACAAATAATAGTTGTAAATAACAGCCCTTGTACTCATTTTTGGTAAATAGAGTTTGTTCGTAAAAAAACAACGTTCTATCCAAAAAAAAAAAAAAGAAATGCGACTGCTCTATACTTTAAAAAGCTGTCATCAAGCCTTAAAGGGTGCCTTCAAAATAACTGAAAAGTAAACGGATACATGTCTAAAATAAAAAAAAAGAGAGAGAAAGCTCGCAAGCGAGGTTAGGCAAACGCTGAAAATAGTGTCCGAAACTAACATTAATTGAAACCGAAACTAATTTACAGTCTCTGCCGATTGCTAGGTGTCCGTCCTGTCCTTTCACTATCTCGGCCACTGGGAACATTCTGCGGTGCCTATGGGAGTCTCCACTCTTCATGTTTACTACTTTACTCTATGCTTGTATGACATCGCGACAACGCAAAACTAAAGCGGATAGGCAGCTTCGCTCTATGGGTGTAATGGTTATTTGCGGTTGGACGCGCCCAGAGAAAACTAAACTTCGCAACTACCACATTTCTGAGATTTCGAGGTCTTGCTGTGAATACAAAATGATATCAGAAGGGAAGTTAACGAAGTGCAACAACTGCATTACTTCTTTATTTGGGTTATAAATATCTAAACATTTAGATTACAAGGTTAAGTTGTCACTGAGAACTTTGCTTGATTGCTTTCAATATTCGCGCTTACCATGGCGTTTGTTGTTTTACAGCTGGCAACATTAGTTTCCTTCCCTCGTATTCTGTCGCGCTCTTTCGGCATCTTTCACTCGAGACTCCAGATGTCAGCACACTCTATTTGAAAGCTCCTCCTCACTAACATTTATCCACCTGACGACAAGAAAACGAATGACCGAGGCCATCCAGATATTGCCTTCGTCATTGACGTGGAAAAAGAAAGGAAGATTGAAGATGAGAAGGGCTGAGTCTTGGACGGCCAACAAAAAGTCTTTGGCGTATCCCGTCTTTTAGCGAGGGCCTAAGGTTTTCGTAAAGATACTCGGCAAGTATTCAAGGACACCTCAAAGCGAAGCGCTGCCAAAGCCTGAAAAAAGCACAAGCACATTAATAAAAAATAAAAGCGCGACGTCACGGAGCATTTTTTGCTTTGATTGAGTAAGCTGGCGGATCAGTGGGCATAGAAAGACGGAGAACGTCATGGCTTCGCTTTTGGTGCTGCTTCATGGGCCCCTTGGCCCTTAGCGTTGACCGCACTGTAACAAAATTTCGGATGATCGCTGACTTGCTTCAAAATTTGTTTAAAGCAATATTATTAGACACGGCTTAACTATTCACCCAAATTAAAAATAAACTCTTTTTCTTTTGCGATGTGATATAATTTTTCAATTTGGTCATCATCGCTTCTTCGAGCCACACAGCTCTACTGGCTACACCGAACGCGTGACGACAGAAGTTGTACTTTTGGCAGAGCACTCCTTGCCAATTAATTACATGAAGTTTGATGGTGGACAACGAATGCTTTCGAAGATACACTAGCAGAGCAAAAAAACTCAAAGAAAACACAAATGAGCTACATGTTAGGTTGATTAGACAGCCTTCTCGACCTGAAAATAACATAGCACGCGACGTGACTCTCCTGGCCCCCATAATGGTGAGTTTTCAAAAACATGTAAACACACAAGACGCCACAAAACGCACCCAAGAACGCTTCGCTACGGAGATGACCGACGCTTCGCTACGGTGATCGGCGGGGCGCTCAAGGTCAAAATGGACGCGCCTCAGACATAAAACACAAAGAAAAGCACAGCCACGCAGATGCTTTGTCACGGAAGCCGTCATGAAACCGGCGGGGTTCACCGCGCTTGAGCAGTGGGTGAACATGATGTCACCACCGGAGCGCAGTGTGCGAAAGAATGACGTAGCACGCTGCTTGTAAGAATGCACTACGCGAAGCCACTTAAGACTGCTTACGTGTAGGAATGCTTAAGTATTCCTACACGTAAGCAGTCCTAAGTGGCTTCGGTGAGTTTTATGTAAAACAACAATACCTAACAGTGCTTTGTATTAGAACAATCAGGAACCTGCATTCATACAATATAAATGCTTTATTTTCAAAAACGTAAACTTTTGCCATAAATTTTCTGTCCAACCTATACAGTCCAAAGCATATAACGTAATATATCTTGCATGTCGACAACAGTTAAAAATCGGTTGGCTGTTATGTCTAATTTATTTGTATGCGCCACTCGATTAATAAACAATCTACATCTTCCACCCCGCAATCAATAGAGACGCTAGGCCTTTTCGTGTGTGCACAAGGAGATTGTAGTATGCCTGTGCCTGATAACTTTCAACATTTCAGTTCTGGTTTCCACTACCGGGTAATCGAAATAACATTGGTGACAAAGATTAATTTTTTATTGCGACTTAAATCTACGCGTGTAGGATATACATTCATTTAACAGCAATTTGTTTACGCCTACACAGCACAAAAAAGTTTAACCACACATCTAGCCTGCTTGCTCGTTAATTTTTTTCTGAATATTAGTAAATCTAAACGCTTCGACGCAGCTCCAGAGATACTTCTTATCAAAGTCTGTGAGTCCATCCTCGACGACCGTGCCATCGCACATTTTGGTTCCTTGTTCAATAATGCCGGCGCCTATCTCGTCGATGTCACCGGACATTGCGGCAATGAATGTGCTGAACTTCTCTACGTCTTCGAAGACGTTCTTGTTCATCTTCTCCAGAATGATAGCCGTCATGGTGTCCTTGGCCGTCTTCATGCCTTCTCCCGTTGGAACCGTGTTTTCAAGCTTTTTTTTCGCAAGGTTAACCATGCTTCTTAGTTCCTCTGCAGTGGCCTGCATAAGCATAGGAAAGTTTCGAATGTCGCGTGAACAAAGAAAAAACACTCACTTGAAATGTTATTTTTCTTTTAAATAAACAAATAAATTTTAAATAATTTTAATTTTAAATAAAAAATAAACAATAAACAAAACATTCGTTTCCTTCATCCGCATTGAGAATTTAAAAGAGCACATTTGTTCTCAGGCATTACATATTCAATCTTTTAACGTTCGGTAGCCACAAATATACCTTCATAAAGGTATTAAGTTTCGTCCTGAAGTCTCATACAATCGAAGGTGAAGCAGCAAATGCGCTATATGCTTTCAACTCAAAACATGCATAAGCGCGCACAGAGCTAGCTACACTTGACTGTGGGGCGTTTTAGCCTGCTACTTTCGTTATTATTATTTTGGAGAGCTTGATTTTTTTTCTGTAGTAGCAAATGTACATCATTCACTGTTTTTGTTTTTAATAATGACGATAAACCTAAGCGCACTAAACTATCATCTTTGATACAAATAACATAAAATCGGCGAGTTTTTATGAGAATTTTTTAACTTATTGAAATTCTGGCTGCCCGCCACGTCAGGTCATTGTGAAATAAGGGCTACTTGAGCCTGTCAGATCGCCTCAAGGTATCTGTATTAGGTATATTAGAAGGATGCACGTCAAACCAGAAACCGTAGTCTTGAGAATTAGGATGCAATCGATCAGTGACCACGCACATTAAACTTTATGCTGCTCCCCTGTGCGAGTATTTTTTCCATTTATATATTTCAGTGCATTAAATGCGACTGATTGTTTCCTTTCAACAAAAATTTGTAGTCATTCCAGGCGCCATGTAGTTTTCTTCCAATATTAACATCGCATGAGAGCCTTAAACTTCTTAGTGATTTACCGTTGAATCGCCAAGGCGTCATTTGTGGGACGACCTTTACAAGCTACTTCCAGTCAGGCCGTGGTAATCGAGTAACTAAATAACTGCAAACGTACGCTACACGCTAGTCACTAAATTAGCGTTAAAGTCGCTAAACAGTTGACGATGTGGCAAAATTCAGTTTGGTGGCAGGTACCACAAGAAGGAAACCCTTGGCTTGGTAAATAAATGTGCACTCGGCTTGCTTCAGTGTTCAAAATGCTTATCAGTCAACAAGTGTTTGACTGAATTCATGCTATTACCCGAGATTAAGAAATGTGTATGTATTAACATGCAAATGTTAATACATTTTGAAAAACAGTAATGCGAAATTCTAAAGAAGGAAAAAGATGCTCGAGAAACAAATTACGACCTTATTAAGAGAGCGCCCACTTTTTTAGATTTCGGTTTGTGTCGTCTGACGCAATCGACAACACGGTGGGCAGCACATTACTATCTGATTTCAAATGATCCCCTTTCGTAAGCAAGCTAAAACTGCAGGAGCACTAAAGCATTTTGCGCAAAAGTCACTCATTGTAATAATAAGATGTCAATACTATCGTGCATATTACCATATATAGATCCAAAATAGACTCTAAGAAATGCTTGCGCGTCTACCTTCCTGCAAAACACTGAAAGGGCCATTCTATGCGATCTACGAAATCAGCTCAGCGAATGATGAGGCGGGAACATCCCTTTAGACCTAAAAATAAAGTCTGCACTGTGGCATTGCTCAACGCAAAGCGTCATGCTTGCATTGCGTAATTCCACAGCGCACACTTCATTCTGAGGTCTGAACAGATGTTCCGCTTCATTATTCGTTGAGCTGATTTCGTAGATAGCATAGAATGGCTCTTTGAGTGTTTTGTGGGTAAGCAGACGCGCAGGCATTTCTCAGAGCGTACACATATTTCAATACTTTTACATCTTGACTTTTTAATTGTGAACAGTTTTCCCGTAATACCGTTGAGTCTTATCATATGTTTAATATATAATTTTACAACATTCAATATTATTCTAGAAAATGGTTGTCCGAGTCTGTACATAAAAATTACAAATTTTTTAAGATGTCTTAAAAGAAAGTAGAGCAACTTCCTAAAAAAAACAAAAAAACTTTAATTGTCTTTAAATTTAGAGGGTATAATCTCCTTTATAATATACCTATGTTGCCTAAATCAAACGGATGTTGCATTATTTCGTCTCTGTCAATAAGCTCAATGCTTCGAAATGTATACAGGGTGTTGGTGCCACTTCAGGACGCCATAACAACAGGAGAGACATACTTCCGCTTCTCCTATGCTTAGGGTGGGTGCTGGACGACTCTCGCTTTAATAGCGAGCAATTAGGCGAGAGCTACTCTCTAGAAACGCCCCAGTCTCGTACTTTTAACTTGCCGATGCGCACGGGCGCGAACCAAATGTCACAAGTGAAGTTCTTACGATTATCTCGAGACGAGGGACGCTACCAACGCCGCCGAGCTTCGGTGATCGTAGCTAAGCAGACGGCGCTCGCCTACTTTGATGTGCTGCCAACAGATGGCGCAACGGGACCAACGCGCGGATGCGGAGCCAGCGGCGCCTCGAGCGATCATCTCCGTACAACGACAGGTGCCGAACGGGCTTTTACGGCGGGTGTAGCCCGAAACAACCCATTCCCGTTTGAACCCGTCCCGTTTCGACCCATTCCCGAAACAACCTTCCCGTTTGAACCCGTCCCGTTTCGACCCAATCCCCAAAACGACCTTCCCGTTTGAACCTGTCCCGTTTCAATCCGTTGCCGAAATGCCATTCATATTTGAACCAGTAGCCAAGACATATTTTACGTTTAAATTCGTCCCGTTTGAAGCCGTTGGTATAGAGCACCGCACATCTCAACCTCTTCGCGAAAAGTGTCCATCGTTCTAATCCTAGTTTGCGCAGTTTTTCTGCAAAGGTGCAGGCGAGCAATTCAGTTATGCTGTGACATATTTTTGCTTCTAAACGTATTCTTAAAATATGCAATACTTTCAGACAAGCTTCAACGAAATATATTTCTACATGAACCTCTTAAAATGTTTTTTTTCAAGATGGTTCCCAAAATGTGTAACTACGAAATGGACTATGTACACTGCCTGACAACGCTACCACGAATACGATGTTGGCGATTTTTCGAATTTTATTTCGAAATTGTATTAGAAGGTATCACATTTTACCGCTTAGGTTAGTGGCCCAGATGAGAACATTCATACACACTAATAATATTGATGGCAGTCTTCTGATTTTTTTTCGACAAACAGCTATAACCAACAATCGTTTGTTCGCGCTAATGGTTTTGCGCTCTGTACAATAATAGGGAGCTTTCGTAGACCGTTTTCGACGTCACGCGACGCTCCTCCACAACCCGCTATACGATACCCAGAACTCTACAGTCAAGGCCATCGGCGCGCAGGCGCAGTAGCGGCTTCTTCGTTTCTTCGTTTCGGAGGGCTTAGCGAAAGGGGAAACGCGGTCTACGAAAACTCCCTAATAAAGTCTTAGAGTAACGCAGGAAAGCCCTTTGAGTAAGCAAGAATTAGCGTTGCCTAAGTCTTTATATCGCGACGCTATTTTTAGGTTACCCAAAGCGCTTGCGTACGTCATTCTAAAACTTCCTTATAGTTATTCTAAAGCTTCCTTGTAGTAATTCTAAAACTTCCTTATATTTATCATTTTAAAAGTGATAAATCAGACAGGCTGACGGGCATATGATTGCGACTTCATTTTTTTACAAGTTCAAACTCAGAACCGTCGCGTACACAGGCGAAAATCATAAACCACAAAATGCTATCACCTTGGTTGAGGAAGTTGAGCAGGAAAATCGCGGCATCAGAAAGGAGACACTCCAATTGTGATAGTTCGCGGCGGTCACCTGGCCCGCACGGCACTACCATTTGCAAGATGCTGCAGCTACATCCTTGTCAAGGCCTCATCCTGTCTGCAGGTCGATGAAGTTGTAAATGTTCGGGTGAGCCCTCCCTGGCACAGTGTTTATCTTACGGTGCCGTGTCTCCGAGGTTGCTTCGGGAGAGGGAGAAGTAATGTGAGCAAGGAGAACAGACACTGGACACTTGAACCTAATCAACTGTTAACGAACAATACAAACGAACCGAACGATGGCCGAAGCGGGAAGGTTGTTTCGAGAAAGGGCGAAATGGGAAAGGATGAAACGAGAAGGTCGTTTTGAGCCGGGTCGAAACGGTAAGGTACAAACGGGAAGGTTGCATTAGGAATGGGTCGAAACGGGAACCACCCTTTACGGCACGTAGCATTGCAAGCTGACACGGTGCTCTGCGAGAGAAACCTCAAACACCAAAGCAAAGAAGTCCATATATTAAAAGTTGGAGTTCGCAGAAACTCGCGTCGCATTGACGGAGGCGTATCAAAACCTTTCTGAAGGTTGTCTGCTAAAACCAAGCCCCAGCTCGGGGACCCCATTGGGGAAACTCGGCGCTTATGTCCGGCGCCTCGGTGCCCATTGTCGATGTCCTGGCGTTCACGAAGTAGTTTAACATGTTTAAGGACTGTAGGCACTACTCACTACGGGTCCCCCAAAACAAGCAAAAGCAATGTCCAACCGGAAGCAGCATACTCCCCCGGTAAGTTTGGTCATGTTAGCTTACAAAGCGATAGCTTCACGGGTGACAATTTGCAAAGATTTCAAGCTCGCCGACTGTAATCGCCGCTATCTAAAGAATCAACAACAAACAAAGAAAAAAAAAACTTTCCGATATTTTATTTCGGCGCGAGGAGAGAAGAGTCAAGTTTTCCTGTCGGCCGCGCTGAGCGAAGAAAGAAAAGATGGGGAGCCCCGCGTCGGTCCCGCGTGTAACGGCGCGACGTAGAGAGAGTCTTCCTGTCGGTCTGCTTTAAACTGTTGTTTTCGAACATTACTCTCGTTATACGAATTCCCACTGTGGCAGTATCCAGTTACTACGAGTAAGGTTCGATGGTTTTAGAGATTCCCACCGCGCTTGATTTCACTTTAGCATCTCTACATATCGCACCCAACTGGAAACGTAAAGCAGTCGTGCTCAAACTCGTCGCCTGGCAACCGCCTCTCCCGCAGATATTCGCTTTATTTCTTTGCTTCACCTGCCCACTCTGCGCTCATCTCTCGACTCCCCCCCCCCCCCCCCCCCCCCCCCTCAACATTATCTCCTCCCTTCACCGCTCAATGTCGCGGGGAAAAGCTACGCCCTTCCCTGGATCGTCACAGCCGAGCGCTCTTCCTAACGGCGACGGTCGTTTGAGGCTTGCGTTCGCCAAGCGAGTACTCATCGGTTCCAGTTCACGGCGACCACCCCCTTGAACTGGTACGCGCATGCGGTGCCTGGCCTTACGCACTTATTTCACGGGTCACCAGGAACTCGCGGTGGTCGTCAGCGCCCTCGATGACGCCTACCGCGACGACAATGAGAAATAAACAGGTTGCACCTCCGTCCTCAGGTTCGTGAAGGCACCATTTTGCCCGCATTACGTGACCGTGCTACAGTAGTCGCTTTCATTTTCGTTTACCTCCGCACACCCTGTATGCTAGATATACCTCGCATACTACATTTCAATTTAGTATTGGCTTTGGTAAATGAACGTAAAATGTTTGTAAATCAGCGCCCAACGTGTCTTTCAAGATTAAGGACGCCCACGCCACAGGGGCTGCAATCGATCAGCGTTATCGCACGCATGATGACGCGGAACGTGCGAAAAGAAAGGTGCTTGTGATTCGTATTGAACAGAAACTAACGTTATAAAAAATTACCGCGATAGTGCAATTACTTGATCGATATACGTACCGTATCAGTCATTTGCGCTTGTTCGCGGAGGATCGGATTCAACCGTTTTGAGTATTCTCTCAGAACTTGACCCAAGCGCTGTGCTTCCTCACCCAGAGAAGATCTCATGATCTTGGGGTCTTTGGGATAAGCAAGAGGGAGAATAAATATTACGAGATTTTCTGAGTGGTCTAATAGAAGCTCACAAAGCAATGTCATTCAGATTGTATATGTAATGGCAATAAAAAAGAAGGATATAATTTGAATAATATTGCTTAATTGTCAAGTAAGTACGCAACATAAACGCCTTCATACCAATATAGTAAGGTGGGCTACCAGGATAGTCATATTACAAATTGGTAGCGCAAAGGTCAAATACACACTGATGAAACCAGTGCTGGTTCCGTCAGTGTATACTTGACCTTGGAGCTATATATTTGTAAAATGCCCTAACACCCTTTTAAAAACAAAAACAAAAAAAAAACTAAAAAACTTGTCAAGCGTTATAGCGGATGCGACAATTCGCCTTTTCTTATTCAATCTTGTAAAATGTTTATATTTATAGTTGATTCATCCACCTTATCTACCTTACACACATCGCATAGCCACTCACCTTGCGTTGAGGTTGGGTTGTTTCTGAAAAATATACAATAAAATATGGACAATGAATATTTTAATTGTATGAGTAAATTCCTCATTGTAAAAGAAGGCATCTGCATAACTATGAATGCCATTATTTAATATTTTTAGTTTTAAAAATATTGCGCATAACTTTAGAAGTCACTGCAACATTCACTACAGCAACCTGTACTGAAAAACTTGGCAAGCGCGATTACATAATGCCGCATTCACAACTCTTCTCGAAACATGGGTTGCGGCCCTTGTCTCGGATCAGGTCACCAATCTCTGTTTTCCGCAGATATTTTTTCTGAATCTCGCCGACACACCAATGCAGAGAAGATAAGAGACATCTAGCACAAAATGAAGTGCATATTTATGCACATTTGTTTAAGGACACCATAACAGTGAAGAAGTATAGGAAAAAGTTTACTTACGTGGATGCCATGCCTGCAAAGTAGAATATAAAAAATAGGTTTGAGCAACAATACTGATTGAAGGCTTTGTGCTACTAACCACCTCATTAACAAATTGCTGTTTAAACAGCGAAGCAATTACAGCAAAGCAATTACTATGTAAGCCGCAGACTCGTATCCTTTACTCCGGTTCTTGTACTTGTGATTTGCTTCTTTAGTAGATATACATTCGTCTTATTTAAGTCTACCAACCCGCATTTCGGTTTATGAAGCCCCAACCTACTTAAAACGAAAAAAAAGTAAAAAAAAGCAATAAAGACGCAAAAAAGAAATGTACTTGCAATACTACAAAAAAAAAAAAAAAACGCGTCATGCAGAAAGAACATAGCGGAAAAAGATTTCCGCCTAACTTATTTTTATTTTTTTTGAGCAAAGTGTTTGGCAAGATCTTAAAGAGCTCTACTTATAAATATGTGTCCGGTTTCCGCAAGATAGGGGATCGGTGACCGAGTGGGCTAGCGCACACCAGCTCGGAGCACGTGGAGCGAAAGCTCGAGCTGCAAAACCCAGCGACCCTGGTCTCAATCCCCACCCCTGCCCGTTTCGATGTGGATGAGCATCGTAACGGCGTGTGGTCGTGTATCACTACTGCGTGGTGCACGTTAAAGACCCCAGGCTTTGCGGTTGTACTGCACTGGCTAAATTGTTCATCTACAGTGTAAACCAGTGTCGCCCCTACTGGCAGACCAACCTTACGCTGTATAAATCACTCAAACGTCCAATTTGACTTTTTTTGATTTTGCGGTTGTACTGCAATGGCTAAATTTCTCATCTACAGCGAGTGACTCGTCACAACTTTTAAATGGCTGACCTACTACACGCTGTCTAAATATACAGAGAACCTCAATTATTTTTCCGTTAGAAAATCCCTTTAGTTCTATATTTAAAACGTTTTTGATAATACACATTTCTATTTACATAAATTTAGGAACCAGACCGAGAGTTTGTGCCGAGCTCACAGCACACCAAGCAACACATTCTCGCGTGTAAAACATTTTCTAGGTTTGAATAATGTTAGTCCCATTAATTGCACGCCTCAAATGACAATCCCGGTAATGTGAGGATCGGAAACCTAAAATTTTTTAAGAGGCGAATTTTTAACTCTTCCCTTTCTTCATTTTCGGTCTCCTTTATGCACGGCATTACCGTACGCCTATTACGCGAGGTCAAAGTTTTGGGAAGGTTACGCTATGTTCAAGTGAAGAGAACTGGGACTTCAGCGGCGGCGCAGTCCAATTTAATAGGATCTTACAGCAAGAAAAAATACGTCTGACACCGTCTCCACGGGTCTACACGAGTTCCTGCACGTTTTGACGCAAAGTTTAATTGGGCAACATATTACAAGTCCTTACGAGACTGTAGCTATTTAAGCGATTTCTTTTTACGGTAAGGTCTTACCTTCGAGATCTTCGCTTTTTGAGACCACGGTGCCTTCGCCGCTTTCAGAATGCTTTCTGTTTAGACAAAATCTATTATTTTTCTCGCCGGACTGTGTTATCTTATCTATTCTACGCAAGACACTATGTATCGCTGTTCGGCGAACTGAACAATCGATTTGCGCTTTCCAACTTATCTCAAAATCTTAACACGTGTCCTCGACCCTTAGCCTAGTACAGACATAAAGATTTCACGGGATGCTGCGCAGCAATTATGTTTTGTTTCAAAAGGCGCCTGATTCCTTAACCACGAGAATTTCCAGAACGATCTTTAGATTAATACTACCCTGTTACAAATTTTGTTTCTAGAGCTAGACAGTTCCAATAGTCGGTGACAGGTTCAGAGTTTATGGGAAGCGGTTTCCACCTTTTTTCACTTTAGCCGAGCGAACGCTAGATAGGAAGTTGTCTCCCCTTTACCGTTCGCTTTACTAAACTGAAAAGAAGTGACAGACGCATTCCCTGAACTGTCTTCACTTGGCGCCATGGGTGCACGTGGAGTGCGCACCGGGTAACTATGCCTAGCGCCAGTTCTTCTGCTTCTTTCGCGGGGGTCGTGGTGACGTCAGAACGCCGATCTTTGATTGGTTCTAATGGAAGGGTAGTGGGTAGACTCCAAGGGAAGCTGCCTTGAGGTCTACGCACTATCCTTCATTCCCAACAAAACCAGAGCTCTGCGTTTTGACGTCACCAAAACACCTGCAAAAGAAGCAGACGAACCTGCGATACGCATTGCTTCCTCCTTTGAGCCAATAGAAAAACCTAGCGGTGTGGGTTGTATGTTCCTCTATGCAACATAAGTGTAAAATATTCATGGGGTTACGTTCCCCGACTGGTTTCGGCACCTCCTCTAGGTCAATGGAAGTGATTGAGCGAGAAATCTTTGATCGAAAAGTGTTTTAACGCCCACAATTGAGACAAATGCATGCTTTCGCATGTTGTTGTCGAAATATTATGCTTTCCTGGTTGACCGAAGTTAGCTTGTCTGAAACCGACAATGATTGTAAAGGAGCGAAACGGCAACCTTCGATTCGTCATTTAGCATTCGCGTAACATTGATCCCACCGCACGGTTGATTAGTTTCCGAAAAGAGAACCGCTCATTTGCATCCCTGTCATACGTTCGAACGACATCTTTTGCAATTGTTTTAGTGTATGCATTACTAGAACATATCGCGACAGATCCACGTCAATCGAGTGTGGGCCAACATGTTTATAAGACATTCGGAAGGGTGCAACGTTGGTGAACAAAACATCCATCGCTTCACCAGTCATTGCAATCATCCTCGGTTGTGAGACTAAAGAAAGTAGCAGATTATTCCAGAAGAAGGCTTGAAATACATTTATGAGTACCTTTCCCGCGCAATATAGACAGCATGAAAACTCGGAGGTGCTGCACCCTGTCGCTTTCCCGTTTAACATCCGACAACAATGTCCGGGGGGCGGAGCGTTCTCATTCAGTTCGCACGCCATTACACAGATGGCGCGGTAGTGGATGCTGACCTGTGGAGGGTCCATATCATCCATTGAAGACTGCACTCGCGGCATACGCAAGCGAACCGTTGCGTACTGTAAACGACTTAATTCTCGCGAAGACCAACTTTTCGCGAATTTCGCGAATCGACAATTCGCGAAAAATAGGTCCCGCGAACAATTCCGGTAAAATGCAAACACATTGGAATCGATATTGAGATCCCACCGTGTCGCGAAAATGAAAAGCAGTGAATTATTTTTAAAACTAACCTCGACCCAAATCGCGAAATATTGAGCCGGCGAAAAATATGTCGTTCACAGTATTTTACTTCGAGAAACCTGGTTCGGTGGCGGTGGCACCAAATGGAATTCGCAATTACTCCTTACGGACTGTAGACGCTTTGCAGAAGCTGTGAATCGGCACCAGCATTACCGACCTTCGAAGTTTGTTTCCCCCTATTACGTGTATTTCACCAGATCAGTGTGTATACTACATGAAAAAATAAATGTTATCTTCTTGTGAGAGATAATGTGAAGACCCGCGTGGTTGTTTCTGGCCAAATAAAAGAAGGCTTAATATTATTGTTATTATTATTATTATTATGAATATTGCCGTCATCATCATCATCATCATTCCCACAGCAGGACTGATTATTGCCATTTTGCATTGTGCGGTGTCCTCTGCAGCAGTAACTTTTGCGGTAGATCGTTAACGCCCGCTTCGGTAACCAAGCATCTCGGTAAGAAAAGAGAAGGCCGGGAACGTCGGATATAAGGCTGTAATTTGGCGCGTACTATAGAAAGAGCCGGAAAGGAGAAAGCCTTCTCTTCTCTCACCTTCTAGCGTTGTCTGCTCCTTTGGATGGACAAAACCAAGCACATGGCTGGCATGTAAACTAGGTTTTAAAATCTCGTTATTTTGGCAATGTCAGGTGCAAATACGCAGGATTATAGGTATGCATGTTTTCGTACAATGTTACACCCGATAAAAAGATATATAAACTAACACAATCCTGCTATCCCAAAATGTCTTTGTATCTTCTATTAATACCTACTTGTGAGGGAAGTGTGTTTATTTTATTTGTATTTTCCATTATCTCTTTTAGAAGGAAGTGTACAGTAGCAACCCACTACTTTTGTCATATCTTACCGGCGATTGTGGTGCCTTATGTGTATGTTTACGTTTCCTGTTAAAAACTTTGTTCCGTCTTATACGTGTTTTCTTCACTCCTGAGTGTAACATTAATTTCTTTTCTTTTCTTGATATCCATTCCATCAACTGTATGTACTATCTGCCTTACTGGTTTCTCTTTCTGATGCTTTTGTTCATGTTAAGATATGTCACATGTACAAAAAGAAAACTGTATGTAACCACTCCTGCACTGGCTGCCAAAAGGCAGCTGGCAATAATCAATACATAAAAAAAAAACCTGCCACGCAAATATTAAAGGAAAGTTATTACAACATCGTAAACAGTGTAGTCGGTCCGGCGCCTCCGGAGAAGATGGAATGCGGTTGCAGAAGTGTTTTATGCAAGATAGACTTTGTACTGGTTTAGGCATTTAGCAACCATGTTTCAAAAGTGGAGATTAGGAAAAAAAAAAAGAAGACGAACGTGTTTACCCATCAAAAACAATAACCACGTCATCATTCTTTTCTTTCTATCAACAACGAATTTGCACAGAATGTATTCCCTGCTAGACATGGCTATGCAAACCTTAGAGGGCTTAAAGTATCGCAGGTGTTTGTAGTGGTCTACTTGTAACCAAAATAACGTTTTGTGGTGATTACTCGTAGGTTGTACTCGGGAAGGGACGTCTGGAGGAATAGAGTGATACGCGGCATTTGTGTGAAGTGTGTGGGCTCCCTGACAGGCTCCTCAGCTCAGATGCCCGACTACAGGGCACAAGGGAGGGGGGGGGGGGGGGGGGGACTTTCCCGGCATGGCGGCGACGTCACACCGGCCACGCGCTCATCGCGCGCGCCGCCTAGATAATGAAGATGAGAGGCGGCGCACGGGCAGTCGCTGGCTAGACTCAAGGGCCGCTGGTGCTCGTTGGTTTTGTGTTAGTATTCTTCATTGTCTAGTTCATGTCCCATTAAATGTAGTTTCTTGTTTTTGAAACCGTTGGATCCGTGCGATTCCTCCGGTTCGGGTATGCAGCGAGGCAAACCGACCACAAGTGTCCGCTCCACAAGCGACGCACATGTCGCTTGCGTTGTCGATGTCGGTGGCTGGAATCATGCACTTCAAGCTGCAAAACTAGCCGGAATTGCAACCACACGTTATTTTTGCAGGGTCGCAAAATCTGAAACACAATGCCTTTAGGACGACATGAATTTCTAATTCGCCGCTAGAGTCAGTGACGTGGTCAGCGATAGCTCAAGAATCGTAGGGCATTACTTAAGGCGTTCACGCTTCTCTCTTTGTAATTTGTGGTGACGCATTCATACCGGATAATGACGCAATCTGATTAAATAAAAATTGATAATCAGATGTTTGAGACACGTTACCTCATGTGTTTTTTAACCTCTCAGTGACTGTGGCACGTTTTCAAATCAGATTGTTGCATTATTTGACTACCTCCCCCTCCTCCTCAGTCCCTGTGACCCCAATCGGGGACAGTGTTTTAAGCGCGTGCAGTTGGTCACCAAATGGGAGTCTCCTCTTCAAATTCAAATTTCCCGCCTCTGCAAGCACTACTTTATCGACGCTCCGTGAGATGGCGCTACTGGTCCAGCAGAAGCGCTGCACAGCGCGTTCCAAGATGGCATCTTCCATGGAATCCGCACGCCGTCGTCCTCGTGGTGAGTAATTTTTTTTTTTCTCAAGCAATATGCACTAGAACGTTACTTTCAGGGTGTCGCAGTCCTTTTGAAAGGTCAGAACACTGCCTGAGAAGAGTTTAGTGTCATAGTTGCGTATTTATTTGCTGCTAAGCGTTGTTTAGATCTGATGTCCCCAATCGGGTACTGTGGGTCCTAAGTACCACTTGATTGCTTTCAGCACCGTACCTGACTGACGAAGAAATTCAGGCCCTACTGCAAGAAAGTGACGCTGATCTTACAGACTCAGAGGACACCGATGCTGTTGCCAATGGTGTGGACGGCCGTGGTGATACAGAACCTGAGAGTGATGATAGTGACGACAGCCAAGACGATCAAAGTGACCAAAGGCCACCAGCAATGACTCCGCCAAGGTGGAGGAGCAAAGCGTATGTATCTTTCAGTATTCTACGCGTATATCAAGTAAACTAGAAGATGCTCTGTGCACTGAAACCCACTTCTTATTTTTGAAATCAGATTTTCCGGCATTACCATCAGAGAAGAGGAGGAAATACCAAGCAGCCAGGCGCGCCAGGAGCCAGACACACCATTGAAATATTTTCTTAGATACTTTCAAGAGGACTTCTGGGAGGAATTAGCATACCAGACAAATCTATATTCCGTTCAGGAAAAGGGGGGGAGGTTAATTCAAACGGATTCAAGAGAGTTGAAGATGTTTGTTGGTATCCACATTGCCATGGGTGTACTGAAGCTCCCAAGAGTTCGGCTCTACTGGTCCCAAGCGCTAGGTGTTGATCTAATTGCACAAGCAATGTCAAGAAACAGGTTCTTTGAACTGAGAAGCAACATTCACTTTGTTGACAAGGTGTCGGTAACCACAAAACAAAAGGAAGAAAACAGGCTCTTTCTAGTAGAGCCTATTGTGAACTCGTTCAGAAATGCTTGCTTGGAGCTGCCCCGATCTCGTGAACTATCAATCGATGAGCAGATGATTCCGTTCTCGGGGAGATGTCCCGTGCGGCAGTGTGTGCCTTCCAAGCCAAATCCTGTCGGCCTTAAAAATTTTATAATGGCATCTCCGGATGGCTTGGTTCTGGACTTTGCCATCTATGTTGGCAAGGGCACAGTGTCTGATGATGACATGCGAGAGTTCGGACCTGGGGGAAGCGTCGTCAAGAAGCTTCTGGAAACACTAAGGAGGGACCGAGAGACTTTCGTGTTCACTGACATGTATTTCACGGGCCTGAAGATAGCTGAGCACCTCATTGAAAAAAAATGTTTTTATGACCGGCACAGTGATGGCCAACCGTACTCGTGGCATTGCAGGGACAATGCCGCCTGACCGGTCAATGCAGCGCGGTGAGTCACACTGTAAAGTGCGAAGTGACGACAAAGTGTGCATTGTGAAGTGGAAAGACAACAAATCTGTCTTGGTCTGATCCACTGCATTCGGCACAGAGCCCGAAGGAAGTTGCGAGAGGTGGTCGAAAGATGAAAAGAAGAAAATAAAAGTGAAGCAACCCGATGCAGTTGCAAGGTACAACAGGTACATGGGCGGGGTTGATTTAATTGACAGGTTTGTCTCCTACTATCGGATCTCTTTGCGAACAAAGAAATGGACTGTCCGCGTCTTTGCCCACTTCTTAGACTTGGCCTGTTGTAACGGCTGGATAGAGTACAAGAGACACTGTGAACGAGCTGACGTTCCAAAACAGCAGAGACTAGATCTTCTTGACTTCAAAATGAACATTGCAATTTCACTCATTCAAGCAGAAATACGGGGATCCAAGAGAGTGCGAGAGCAGGAAGAGGAGAGCAATGAGGAAGAGACTACACACACTCGGCGGCAGAGGAGCAAAATCATTCCGCTTCCTCCAGATGATGTCAGATACGACATGGCAGGGCACTTCCTAGAGCACCAAAGGCTTGGATCACATATGAGGTGTAGGTATCCAGGTTGCGTGGGCAAATCAAGGGTCAAATGTCTGAAGTGTGATGTATTTCTGTGCCTCCAGAACCGCAACTGTTTTGTTGCCTTTCACACGCACTGAGTCCCACAGGACCCAATCGGGGACAGCCTAATTTCACAACTTCCCTTCTTTGTTTGAAAGAACTATTTTTTCCAGTGATTTTTTGTGTGCTCAAGTGCCAAATAAACAAGCTTGAAGCAAATCGTGCAAGTTTTCTGATCTTGGGACTGAAGAGGATATGTGCACAGAATGGATGGGGGCAGTCGCGTGGCCCAGCAGTTGAAGCGGTGGCCGCTAGGATAGTGCCTTCTCGGTTGTAGGGCCGCCGCGCATCGCCTTTATGGTTTAGGAACACTGTACATTACTTTTACATTTCTTTTTGCATATTCTGACATTATTAAGATGAAAGTTTTACAAACCGGTCACTTTTGTTAACGCTGGCTGCAGTTCATTTTTTTTAAATAAAAAAATTTGTTTCGGAAATTAGATGAACCTATATAGTGTCAATATGCGTGCTTTAGCTAAATACACATGAAATTGTAGACTTGCTAAAATCGTACTAATGATTTAGAGTTGTTTTCTATCGGTTTTTGTAATAAAATAGAGACTGTTCTCTAAAGATTGTTTTAGCTGCCATTCTTTTTTATTACTTAAAAAGTCACACAAAGGGCGCTGCTAAGCATAACCTGCTCAAACGCACTTTATATTTACGTTTATAAAAAATAAGACTGCCATCAACGAACATCTTGAATTTTTATAGATATAAAGTGTTATAAAGTGTAACTTGTGCTGACAAGAAATAACATTGGTGCATTTTCTGATTATTAGAGCGTTCCGAAAAAAAGTTCTTGCGGGGTAGGATGAGTAGAATGCGTTAAAAAATAATGCACGCCGATGTAAAATAGTACCTTAACCACCGCAAGATTTCATCATGAATTCCGGTTGCTCTTCAGATAAAAAACAACGCATCCTCGGGTAGGGTGTCAAAGGCCTTCAACATGTTTGTGAACGGTTTGCTCTTTATCTTCCAACTTCCCCTTTGCCATTACGAATCATATTCAAGTTAGGTACTGCGTATACAAGTTGTGAAGGAATAAAGCTAAAAACGAAGTTGGGAACGGGTAAAAGTATAAATTCGGGAAAATGTATAATATACTTTTTCACTATATTTTTGCATTTTTTAAGATATGGATCCTTATTTATAAATGCGGAGCTTATCTGCTTAAACAACTGGCACTGCGTGGTTGCAAGCGTAATCTTCAAGCGAAATAGCTTTCGGTAGAGTTAGCTTAAAGTATGAGGAAACATTGCAATATTAAACCGTCTGCTTCGCATACCTCTTCAACCGTAAGCAGGGATATAGTGTTCATTATATTACACTCTAATATCAGCATTAAGGGACTTGGCAAATACATCGAGCAGCCGCCATTATATCAAGTATGGGAGGGGATAACACGAGGCAGAGCCTTTTCTTGAAGAGTGTACTCAAAATTGAGGAAACCATTGATAAAGTTGTGGCCAAGCCACACTCAAAGCCACGAAAGATAAAAAAAAAAAAGTCTATGTTGTCAGCGCGCTTAAAACTCACGCGCCTCGCGACAGAAAACACCAAGAACACCAACCGGTAGGCCGCGCTTAGTTCTTCATCCCCGCAATATCTACAGAGCGTATACCTCTTCGTTCATGAAGCGGATAATCTTCTGTGGGTTAAATAACTTTCTCTTACCAGAATTGAAGGACATCAAAAAGGCTCCGAGCTTACACAGTTCTATCAGTCATGACAGGGGGTTGCGTGATGAGAAACCAGGTGCTACGGCGAAGACGTACTGGGGAGTGTGGATTTTTCTATTGATTTTAGGCATCGAGAGTCTCGACTCCGCTGCGTGATACTCTACAGTTAAAGTAAGTTTTTCATCGCCATGCTGCAGTGCCCTGCGAGTGAAGTAGAAATGACAACAAAGTAGATGACAGCAACAACGTTAATTAGCTAATAACATCAGTGCTCTACGCTGGTTTCCGTCACCGAAGTCGGAATGGTCCGACAGTCAAATGGTCCGTCACAAAAAAGTCTGATCACCGAGTCTGATCACCAGCTATTCAACGAATAGCTGGTCGTGCTCCCTTTGAACGGCTCTCGCGCGACGTCTAGAAACTGTCGCGTTATAAGTCCCAAAACCAAGCAACCTTTTTCTCGCTGGTTTCTTTGGTTTTCTTGGAATACCGGAGCTATTTGGTCAATCAGAGCGAAGTGGCGTTCTCATCTTGTTCGGACTTCGGAGGGCAGAGGATGCATCAACCGTATGGGGAGAGAAAGTGTCGTCCCATCTGAGGAAGCACAGTTGCCAAATACTTCACCGAGAAATACCTCGTTCTCCACGGAAATTTTAATGGCCTTGGAAGCGAGAGGCTTTGCGTAGGTGGAACGGGTAGACGCGCGGAATTTTGGGTTTTTCTCCTTTTGAATCGGGAGGGGCGGCTGCCATCATGTATCGCTGTGGAAACTCGTCGAGACAGCGGAGACAGCCGTCTTCGCTTTTTTGATGAATTCAGTATCTCGGTGTGTCGGCGGCATCCCTCTCCGAGGGCACAGATCTAAAGCACGATAGCGTGGACAACTTGATGCGCACACGTCGGAGTGCCTGCTTCGGGAAGATAGGGTGCTATAGTCGAGCTGTTTATAGCACCCTATGTGTGACGTGCCTTTCTATAGACGGTGAGGGTTTAAGAGATCAGACAAACTCCTCTTAAGTATTTTTACTTAAGCAGAGCAAACGCTGGAGAGGAGGCGACCCCCCCCCCCCCCCCCCCTCAAGCGTCCAATCTGCCAAACTGGAAAGAGGTAAGAGGAGCTTGCGCTGAAGTCTTAACCAACCACCAACCATAATAAGGTATTTCCAGTTATCCTCGCTGGCACATAAGCGTGGCCGTTGCTACTGCCAAATAACGCGAATGACATGGCAAGCCTCCACCACCACAGCCAACCCCTTAAAAGATAAGCTGGACCATTTCAATTGCCGATTATTTCATTTTGCGTTTATTCTTCATCGACCACTGTTCGAGGCCAAAAAAACAACATAAAAGGTCAGCCATATAGATTTCTGCTATTTGTCAAAGTATAAGATATGCTGCACAGAAGGTTCTTCCGCCCATTATTAGTTTTTTTCCGAAAAGTAGATCACAAGTCTTAAAACCACTTAAGTTACGGGTCTTTCCTTGCCTTATCCTTTTATTGTGAACCTTCAAATTGATTGTTTCCCTCCTTATCAAAGGCTGTGACCCTTTAAAAAGCTACTTCTCATTGGGGACAAAGTGCCCTCTACAGCAATTTAGCGATACGCTAAAAACACCTAAAGCAACCCTGTGTCTAAGCGATTACTGAACCAGTCGAAGTTTTTTTTCTGGATTTTTCGTATGTGCTTACATCGATCGACCGTAAGTAACCCTGCGTTAGTTTCCGCAAAGCAGTTTTTCCAGAAACATCTGCAAACATCTAGCAATGAACGACCCTTATAGTTAAATGACACACGCCGGTTGTGCAACCAGATGGAAAAGGTTTAGATTACAAACAAGGTTAAGCAGACTTGACCTTTTCAGTGCAGAATAGGTTGGCAATCTAAGCGTATTCCAATATATTTTCGTTAGCGGTGAAGTGCCCGTACACCAAAATTCTGTTTTTTTTTTTTTCTGGAGACGACAGATAGAATATTATAATCCTCCTCCAGGATATTACGTGGCCCATATGAAGCTCGATAGAAATTTTTAAAGAACTTTAAGGAATTCTAGTTTGCCGCATTAATTTGTTGTGACCTCGTATCCTTTTAAAAATAAAGCAAAAAGATTTTTTTCTACAGTGGTATTTACGTTTTTGTTTTGAGATGAACGATGTTTTAGTGATCTGGTCAGTTGAATGGACTAGTTAACAGTCGTAAATATCTATATGTCGCATGATATGCGTTAGAAACGTTTTATAAGGATATAAGTTAATGAAAAAGAGCTTTTGCATAAATCAGCAAGTTTTTTTTGCCACTTACACTGTTAAAATTATTATTCCAAGGCTCTGAGCTGGACATTCATGATGCAACGGACTGTCATATTTTCCAGTCAGTCGTCATTCTTTTTTTTATCAATGTTAAATGACTGTCACGGTTCACTGACACAGTTCATTGAAATAGGAGCGCAGTTGCTAGAACTTCAGATTCAGCCAAAACCATTTGCTGTCAAATTACCTTTACATGGCCAGTGCCCAAAATGTTGACTGAAGACTGCCGGTTAAAAAAATGCATTCCCTTAGTTTAAAATGCTTCTATTGTGGGGGCCATGTGTTCCACGCATCCCTATCTAGGCTTAGCTTAGGCAGGCAGTAAGTGCCGCT